TTTGCCAAAATACAAAACACGAGCGACGTTCGCTCATAGGCACGTTTGCCAAAATACAAAACACGAGCGACGTTCGCTCATAGGCACGTTTGCCAAAATACAAAACACGAGCGACGTTCGCTCATAGGCACGTTTGCCAAAATACAAAACACGAGCGACGTTCGCTCATAGGCACGTTTGCCAAAATACAAAACACGAGCGACGTTCGCTCATAGGCACGTTTGCCAAAATACAAAACACGAGCGACGTTCGCTCATAGGCACGTTTGCCAAAATACAAAACACGAGCGACGTTCGCTCATAGGCACGTTTGCCAAAATACAAAACACGAGCGACGTTCGCTCATAGGCACGTTTGCCAAAATACAAAACACGAGCGACGTTCGCTCATAGGCACGTTTGCCAAAATACAAAACACGAGCGACGTTCGCTCATAGGCACGTTTGCCAAAATACAAAACACGAGCGACGTTCGCTCATAGGCACGTTTGCCATTAATCCTCTTCGTTTTGTATACTAATCCACTTTTTAACATGGTCTGCGGCTACAACAGTTCGTCTACGTTTGAACCCCTCTCGTAAGTCTTCAACTTCGTATCTGTCATTAAATAGTACTTTTGTGATGCGAAAAGGGCCTTTGTATTTCGGATGAAGCTTATGACTGGCACCCGTAGTAGGTATACTCGTTATTAATACTCTAACTAGGTCACCGTCGTTGTACCTTTTGGCATCTCGTCGTGTTTTATCATAGCGTTCTTTTTGTTTTTTCTGGTCCCTCGATATGTGATCCGAAATTTTACACCTAAGCTCTTCCAGGTCTAGCCTATCGATTTCGTCTTGGATTTCATTCAGAATTATTGCCTCTGCCGCATGTTTTGAATTATAGCCAATAAGCGCCTTCATGGGGGTCGAATTAATACCCTTATTAAAACTTGTATTAAGTGCGCTTTGCACTTGTTTTATATATTTGTCCCAATCTCTTTCATCCTTGCCTGCAGCTGTTGTTGATAGCGCACTCACAATGGTTTTGTTATATCGCTCACATTGGCCATTACTTCTGGGCGAGGCAACGGCATTTAAAACGTGCTTAATCCCATAAGTATTACAAAATGTTCTAAAAGTTCGAGATGTAAAAGCTGTCCCTCTATCGCTTATAATTCTGCTAGGTACTCCAAATAGATATATTAGGTCGGTTAAAACCCTAATAACGTATTTACTTTTTTGATTATGTACTGGTTCGATTACAGTGAATTTAGTAAATGCGTCAACAATTACAAAAATATACTTATTCTTCTTTTTGCTTGTCATAAACGGCCCAACATGATCTACATGTAATGTATGAAAAGGAATCGGATGTTTCTCAATAGGGTTCAATTTACATTCTCGTTTAGAAAACGACTGTTTGTAATACATACAACTTAGACATGCGTTAACATATTTCGTTACGAATTTCCTCATTTTTGCGAACCAATAGTTTTCACAAATTCTTTGTAACACTTTTTCTACACCAAGATGCCCAGAATCATCGTGACACAAACGACAAATTTGCATACGTGCTGCTCGTGGAACAACCCATGCTTTGGTTCCATTTCCTAATTTTTTGTATAATTTGTTATTCCTTAACTCATACTGCTCAAAGTAAAACTTTGTATCGCTATTTTTTATTTTATCGGCTAAAATGTTTCGGATTCTACAAATCTGTTCATCTTGCATTTGTGCGGCGGTAATCCAGTCAGCTTCTGTCAAGTCTATATGAAAAACTTCAACTTTAAAATTATTGTTCGATATAGGGTTTCTGCTAAGAGCGTCAACATGCGTCATCTTTTTGCCGGCCCTGTACTCAATTTCGAAGGTATATTCTTGAATTTCCAGCCACCATCTTCCAATGCGCGGGATCAAATCCTTCTTTGATAAGGTCGTTCGCAAGGCATTACAATCCGTAACCACTTTAAAGTTTATCCCCAATAAATAAACCCGAAAATATTTTAAGGCATAAACTACAGCCATAGTCTCGAGTTCGTATGAGTGGTACTGCCTTTGGTCGCTTGTTGTTTTTTTGCTAAAATAAGAGACAACATGTGTATTACCCTCAGCATCATATTGAAGCAATATTGCCCCGACACCGATGGAACATGCGTCTGTGTGAAGTTCGGTTTCTAATTTAGGGTTATATATTGCAAGAATTGGACAAGATATAAGCTTTTGTTGAATTTGGTGAAATGCTTCTTTTTGTGGTGCGCTCCATATCCAATTCGCACTTTTGCGAGTTAATTTTGTTAGAGGCTCGACAATCATGGAGAAGTTCTTGACAAATTTTCGAAAATAACTTGCTAATCCAAGAAATTGACGCACTTGCTTAACGTTGGAAGGATAATTCATATCCAATACCGCTTGAATTTTCTTCTTACCTGGCCTCACTCCTTCTGCACTGATTTCTCTCCCAAGATATTCTATAGTAGTTGCAAGAAATACGCACTTACTGATTTTTAAAGTAAGGTTATGTGCACGAAGTTGGATTAACACCTTTTTTAAGCGTTCTAGTCCCTCCGCAACCGTCAATGAAGGAATTATAATGTCATCTATATAGGGGAAGGCAAATTCATCTTTTAACGGTCCCAGAACCTTGTTTATTAATGATTGAAAAACTGAAGGCGCATTTGCTAACCCAAAGGGCATCCTTAAAAATTCGTAATGGCCATCGGGTGTTACAAATGCAGTCTTTTCAATGGAATTAGCAGCCATGCGAACTTGATAAAAACCGGATGCTAAATCTAAACTGGTGAAATACTTAAATCCTCCTAATTTGTCGATTTGGTCTTCGATATGTGGCAATACACCACGGTTTTTAATGGTTACTGCATTGAGATGTCTAAAATCAACGCACATTCTATAGCCTCCATCCTTTTTTTTAACAAGTGTAATCGGGCTGGAGTACGGAGAATTGGATTCGCGGATGACTTCATTATCCAAAAGTTCTTGAATCATATTTCGGAGAATACCCCTTTCAACCTCAGGCATACGATAAGGATAACGTACAACCGGTGTGTCGACTATACATTTTATCTCCATCTCTACCGTATTCGTATTTCCTAAATTTTCCATGGAAGATGAAATGCAATCCGAAAAACTATGCAATAAGGAAATACATTTTACTTTATCAGCCTCTGAAATAGGGCCCAAATTTACACTATTTAAATCCATAGTGTCATAAACCTCAACCAAACTCACAGACACACTTGTAATGGGGAATAAGCTGTATAAAACTAATCGATCGTCACGTTTAATCATGATTACATGTTCTTGGTTAATAAAATCCCGACCAACTAATAAATCATATTTAAGGTATTTGTCCGGAAGAATTATGGCACTTACTTGTGCCGAAACCCCTTGTATAGTAGCGGTTATTTTACAAAGGGACCTACTATCTAAAGAAGTGCCCATAAAACTACACAAAGTCATACTCTCCGAATCAATACGTTGCAATCCAAATCTCTTAACGAGGGACTCCTTTATTAGCGTATTTGAACTGCCCGAATCTATTAAACATTTTATTTTTTTGCCAAAAATTCGGGCGGGCTGTAAGAATATATTAGGAAACTTTTCCTTTGCTAACAGATTAACGTGCTGTATTTCCTTTTGTAAAAAGGGACACTTTTCTTTAGTGTGACCTAGTTTTTTGCAATTATTACATTCAAGACGTGGTTTTTTGCAGTTAACTGAAATGTGACCCGGAATACCACAATTGTAACACGTTGGGCGGGACTCAGATTTTCTAGAAAATTCTTTATTATTCGAATTTCCTCGATTGAAGCCAGTCCAAGGCAGACGTTTGAATTTAGTATTATTCTGACGAAAACTACAAATTTCCGTAGGCATGTTACCCACGGTGTTTAGATACGCATAAAGTGCATTGGCATTCTCATGCTGTGCGGCTCTAACAGTTCGCGATATATTATCGTCTTTAATACCGCCGATTACTGCGTCAATCAAATAAACGTCAGGTATATTTATGTTAAGTGCCCTTAATTTAGACATTTTTTTAAAACAATAATCTCCTAGGTTTTGTCCCGGCTTAGTTTCGTAATTAGCAGCGTCCTTTAGTAACTTGGAAAATGGAACAGACTTACGGAAATAGAGGCTCATTGATGTTTTAATTTCAATCCAGCTTGAGTCATACTCCACGTTCTCGTCGTACCATTGACGAGCATTACCTCGTAATCGTCCGGAAATTATTCGAAGAATAGTATCATCGTCCCACTGATAACGTTCTGCCAAACTATCCACTTTACTCAACCAATTATCCACCATCACGTCATCCCGACTTGGGTCAAATTTTGGCACTAAAAGTTCGTCTCCCGCGCGAAAGACCGGCTTACGCCTTTTTAAATCATTTAATTCTTTTCTCAAACGTTTTATTGTCCGTTTTCTCCTCGAGCTATTATCGGAAGAGCTATAACTCGAATTCGAACTGTCACTATCACTTCCCGAAGACGAGGATGAACGTTCTTTCCGTTTATTACGCTTTTCACTTGTAACTGTTTTCGATTTAAATCTTCCCATGACGTACAATAATTTTAACTTGTCCGAGAAGAGAAAAAAAAAACGATTGTAAGTGATTTTAGTAAAATCCCACCGCTGCTTTGTAAGGATCATCAAAAATAAAACCACGTAATGAAGCAGAATCGAGTTTAATCCTCTCCGTTCGACAACTACGTCTTCACTAACTCATCGTAAACCCCCAAAGACATCGCATAATAATACCCTAATTATCTCCTCACCGCAGCTTGCCCACCCTGTCCTTTTTGCCTGAGACGCCGATACATTTTACGATCGGCAAAAAAACAAGGCGGCGCCTCTTTGTTACGGGGTCTTGTCGGATATGACGTAATAATATAAATATTCCAACATAATTCTTATTAGGAATTAACATAGATGCGATTAATGCGATATTTTGAGGGTCGTTCGCGTTGATTAAAAAAAAAAAACACAAATTTTATAGCGAATTGTTTTATTCTTAGTCCATTCCTGTTTTTTTCGACGCAATTCTAGTCGGGACACTTAAGTTTTAGCCCCTCGTAGACTGCCCTCATCCAGATGCCGACGGCGTGAGCTCCCGGATCCGGATAGCGATTATCACCCCGAGTGTCCCTGGCAGACCGTTCGGCTTCCCCCACCCCCATCCCGAACGCGATTATAAATTTCTCCCCCTTCGCCAGGCCCTCTTTTACGGCTTCGGAACCCGCTCGAAATGGTTCGTACATGGTTCCGCTTTTGCCGAATCTAAAATGCTCCTTTTTATATCGCCGTGTCCGGAATAATGCGTGATTCAGCTCACCAAACAATCAGGATCAGGGTCGGGCAGAACCAATGTCCCAAATTTAATGCTCATTATGCGACATCGAGCCGGTTCTGTCCATTTATTAAACTTTCGTCTATACTATTCATCAGTATACTTGGTATGGTCTGTTCATAGATATAAGAAAGTGACCAATTGCTTTTGAATGGGATTATCCAAGGGTGGTCATTAACATACAATGCAACAAGATTATTACCTAAATTTAAATTCAGGTAAAATTGTGGTCCGTAATAGAAAATAATTTTATCCCTGCCTATGTTTAATATTCTTTGGTTTGGTATACTACTTAGTTTAAGTTTATTAGTAATTATTCTTATTTCATGTGTAATACAGCGTGTGTTGAATCATTGAATATGTGCGAGTCTAGTGTATCTCGGGAGATGCTCCCGCCCAAATGTAGAAAACACTATTCTATTGAGACTAATGAAGTTATAAACAATGTTTATTTGACTCTCATTGAACGTGGTGCCAGCAAGCAAGCATCTTTAGAAGAAACGGCCACATTGACGAAAATTCAACTGTATGGAAAATTGTGAATAATAAATGCTGCGATGCTGACATTTTCTCGAGTGTAAATGAAAGTGATCAAGATATATTACGGAGTAAAATTTACCAGTTATACGAGGAACAAAGCGTGCCTACATTAGATATCTTAATTACGAGGCTTGAAAAAGATGAAACCGGTGTTAAATGTGGCAGAACTACCTTATGGAAGTGTATTCAACACATGGGTTTTAGATTTAAAAAAATTGACAAAAGGCAAGTTTTAATGGAATCTTTTAGAATTTGGAAATAGCGACTGAAATATCTAGAAAAAATTAGGATTTGCAGAGAACAATAAAGGCCAATTATTTATTTGGATAAAATCTGGTTATTCACATCACATGGGACACTTATAATACTCCGGAAAAAACTCATACGCGCCATCAAAAAGAGGTAAAAGAATAACTATTTTGCATGGCTCTAAAGCTGGTTGGATTCCAAATGAACTTTCTCTGTCTGCGAAAAATATTAAAGATTCTTCTCCGGATTACCATGAAGATACCACCGCTGATTTATTTGAAAGTTAGTTTAAAAACAAACTAGTTCCAAACAATCCTCCTAATAGCGTTATTGTAATGGACAATGCAAGATATCACAGTAGACAGTTGACTAAAACCTCTTCCTCATGTGACACAAAAGCAACAATCCAAAACTACATGTATAAGAACGACATTTATTTTCACGAAGATTATACCAAAAAGCAATTAATTGAGGTTCTACGAAGCTTGAACCTACAAAAAGAATAAGTCTGTGATAATTATGCAAAAAATCTAAGGCATATAGTTTTAAGGCTTCCAAGTTACCACTGTTTATTTAATCCCATTGAACATGTTTGGCACCAACTGAAATCTGCCATTCGTCGTAACAATGTTTTTCCCCGTGTTAACTCCAATGTCCTCAAACTTATAGAAACCGAAGTTTTTAACATCCCTCCACAAAGTTGGGCAAATTCTGTTAAACATATAGAAAAAGCAGAACAATCCATATTGCAAATAATATAGATCAATAATAATTAGAAGAGGCGATGATAGGGATAATGATACTGTGATGTGAATAATTTTAAGTAATTTAAGTAGGTAATAAAAATAATTTGTAATTTTATTTTAGATTTAAACATAAATACATACATAAATAAGTAAATATTGTTTAGTATCTTTCCTAACAAAACCCCAAATAATTAAATTCTAAGCAAAGTACGGACCCGTTCGGCCATATTTCATTCTTACAGCTTGCCCGGGTCTTTCCTTAATTTGTATCAGTTAGTCACTTTCTTATATCTATGAACAGACTATAATCTCTTACAGTGGTGATTTGCAGTAGACTCTAACCATAACTAACCAAAACAAAATAATTCGATTAAAATTAAATTACAATCACATGCAGATATTTCTAGAACAAAAAAAATGTTTACTCCGACAGCTACTTATTTACTTAAACAATTAATTTATATACGTAGAAATAAACCTTTCAAACTCAACTTAAACAAACAAAAATAATTTCGATTAAAAAGATTTTTCAACTATTGCTATCAAGCATGGTGAAATCAGAGGCCCAAACTAAAAAAAATTGAAAAAAAGTTTAAAATATTTTACTCACAACAAATGTTTTTTTATAACCTGTCTGAATAGAAAAATGAAATAAAAAATAGATAAAAATAAAAACGTTTGTTGCGACACAGTTTCGCTCTTTATTAGTTAGTCATTTTACTTTTTTTTTTATTGTTTGTTTTATATAATATTTGCAGGTTTGTATTTTTTTAATATTTAGGTATATTCCTATTTTTTCTGACAAAACTTTCCTTTGCACTATTAGTGTCTACTATACTATACTCTATGGAGTGTAATTTAAAGCTGCAACCGAAATAAATTCAATTACTCGAATCGCAGTCACATATTAAATATAGTAGTAAAAAAGAAAGTCAATGATGGGGCTACACCCTTTTTGTATTTTTCCTTTATAAACAAAAAAACTGTATTCTTTTTTTGTGATAACAATCTGACCTCAAAATATAATTATGCGTTCAAACAAAAACGTTATTTTTATTAAGATATTTTTCATTTTTTCTTATTTCGCTTTACTAATTTTGGATATTATTCCTACACATAATTCAATTAGTATTTCTGGGTAATTAATTAATTCGTAACAATTTTAGTTCCCTAGGGGTTTAGCATAGATAAAAATAAAAACGTTTGTATTCTGTGACACACTTTCGCCCTTGATTAGTTGGTCGTTTTACGTAATAGTTTTTTTTTTCTTGTCTGTCTTATATAATATTTTATATAATAGGTTTATAATTTTTAAAAATATTTAGCCATATTGCTATTTTTTCTGACGAAACTTTCTTTTGTAATATTGGTATTAGTAATAAATAAATAAATAAAAAATAAATAAACTTTAGTTCCATTTACAAATTTGTGGGATTCTTAGGTGTTTAGCATTTTCTCTTTCCTGTCTATATAGCCGGTAGTATTTTCATCTTGATTTTAGTATTTTCTCTGCAACAATTCTTCAAAAAAAAAAGACAGTAAATAAATAAAACAGCAAGGGAGAGGAGATCCTTCGCAATCCAGAATGACACCTGACTGTTTGGTGAGCCTCACGCTTTCGACATCACCTCCGCAGCGATTCACACGCGTGTCCAAACGCCTCCGACCACATAAGGGCGGTCACCTCGTCCTCTTCTTTATGGGTGCCGAATATTTTCGCCGCCCCTTCGAACGCGACGCCGTAAACTGTCCCCATTGTGCCGCCGACAATGTCCTCAAAGATTTTGCTCAGGCTCAGAAACAACGTAAACGGACAATTCAATATCAGCTTCTTGTCCTTTATTCTCCGTTTTAAAACTTCCGCGACGCGTTTTAATCTCGAGCCGACGTCGCCGGCGCCCCTCTCGGAATCCATTTTGTTTAGCATTTTCTCGCAGGAAATTAGGGCGTCGCTCGCGAATTGAATACACAGCAATAGCACGTTTGCGGCGCCGATTCGTAATTTGGGGCCTTTCGTTGGCGGAGACAGACGACATTTTTGTCTTAAACGCCCCCGTATCAAGATTTCTGATATAGAGTGAGGCGTAGTTTGATTTACTCTAATCCAACCTGCAGATTTGCGAGTGTTTAGAACTATCGGAAGGCAACGGGATAGTCCTCTATACCTGGAACATCGCATGGGGCTTCTAAATGAGTCAGTATTTCTTTATCGAATATTTTTAAGACCGTCAATGTTAAACCTCCGCCGCTAAACCCATTAACGATATAATAACGCGCCACATATACATCGCGTAACTGAAATATGGATCCGATCTCTTTAATAAACGCGTATTCGCGTTCTTTTTTCAAAAAGTTTTGGTTGTTTATCAAAACAACTACAGAAAGGTTCGGTTTAAACGATAGTTTTTTGTCAACTGCGTCAAAAAGATCGTTCGCGACGAATTTCAAATCTCTATCCGCAAGTCCAGTATTACTAGCTTTGCAATTTTCACAATACAAGCATTCTCTATTGTCAATCGTTGGACGCTTGTTAACCGCACTACACATATTGTCCAACACCGCTCGACAAAACGCGTAGATATCTTCAAGAGAGCCCCCACTTTGGGACACTGAACCTGCAATTTTACTTACCAAAACCACATTAGCGGGGCTTCTGTCTCCGCAATCTAATAGCAACACCCGTAGATTGTCATTTATAGCCCGCTCAGCGGCCAGGCCGAAGTTTAAATGGTCTGCTGATATAGCAGGAATAATCAACAAAGTTCCACTATTGTGGTTCACACTTAACTCCCTGATAACTCTTAATATTAATTTCGAACTTGGCGGTAGAGAACTAGAACCTATCCGTATAAGTTTATTAAGCGGGTAATCGGTTTTACTCAAGCCCGTACCTTGTACCGAAGCAGTCAACATCCCTAGCCCTACGTATTCTCCAAAACAAGTGGAGCCACCCGAAATTAACCTCACATTTTTGTTTTCTTTGTAGTTTGTGCTGACAACTACATTCCCGAAATCAAAAAGGGACACTTCTCGATTGAACATTGACAAACCTACCAAATATTCGTCGTGCATGATGTTATTGAGTGGATTTTCCATTAGAATTTTGTGCGAAAAATTCCAAAACAACACAACCACGGAATACGCAGCTTAGTTTTACAGAACCATACCTCATATGTGTGCCGTGGTCCAATGTTGCCAGCCCTTGTTTCTGTCACTCTGTTGTGTTGATATATTTACGTATGTTTACTATTACTTAAAAATACGCATACGGGTGAAGAATGATAAAAAATAGTGTACACCTTACCAACAATGGTGAGTGACCCTCGCAGTTTTGCCCAACGGGATACGTGAAAAGAAGGAGAAGCAACAAAGTCTAGACAGTCAAACATTTACCGCATGCGTACCATAGCACCAAGACATATGATTCAGAAGTATTTTTCTTCTTTTTTGCTTTTGTTGGTCAAATTGTGTGGATTATGCGACCATTTTAGTTCCTTAGTTCTACTCTGACAGATCAGAATTTCGATTACACATCGAAATACATTCTAACATAAATAAACTATATTCCAACTTGGTCTTTAAACAATTCCAAAAAAAAAATGTAATTTTGTCGCTTTTGTCCCTGCCAATCCAGCCTCCAACTGTCATGAATAGCGAAAACCGAGCAACGTAACGTCATTTAATTATGCTCAATTAATTTTTAAAACTTAACTTAAACAATACTGATTATAACGGATCCTACCGAGTGCGAAATAAGGTTGAATCGCCATGTGCAATACTAACCGTTCAGTAGTCTTTGATCCAGGATTCTTCATCTTTTTTTTACTTTTTGCTAGGTATATTGTATCAGGGGCAGTACCCCATGATACGTTTCGACAATAGAATATTTTTAGTATTTTTTATCTAATTCATATCCAACGCTTTTTTATTGCCTTTTGTCGACACTGAGATTATCTATTAGGGGACTCAATTTTTCTGAGTTAAAAAATATAATCAGGCATCATCACTACCCAAGTCCGACTAATTGTTGTCTTTGTTTGTTTTATAGCCCTTAGTTTTAGTTGGTTTTTTTATTAGAAAAATTGAACTTTTTTACGAGATTCCAATTTCGGGGAATCGAATAATCCACGGATTTGGGAGGAGGCTCTACTATCCTTCTTGTTCGGCGAATCAAATAGTAGATTAGAGAAAGAGAAAAAGCAATCTTGTCAAAATCTCGGAAAAGAGGTGACAACTAGCTGATCTCTAACTTCTCCTTATATGGAAAACATAACCGCTTTCGGCGATTATTTTACTGGAGCGTTTTCGGTTTTATTGGCGAAAAAACTTTAGATAAGCGAATTTATATACAATTGAGGTTGTTGTGCGGGCCGCGTCGAGTAAACCAGTCAGTATTATCTTAATTTTCTTCCGTCAAGCCGGATATTCGTCTCTGAAATGTCATATGCTTGCAGTAAGTTGTTTCTTTTTCCGATTTTTGTTTAAATTTTATCCCCGGTTTATTTTAGAAAGTATTTACGCGGCACTCCCGAAAACGCAAAGGGGTCAGCCTCTAGTGTTGGGCGGAGATCCCAAAGGAAAGAATTTTTTATACACCAACGGCAATTCTGTAATAATTAGGAATATAGCGGTAAATACAAAATTATATCACCCCTATAAATAAGCTTTAGACGTGAATCACGCTTACATTGCGAGATTTAACCCATAAGTAACTTTTTTTGTAGAATCCGGCCATTTCTGATGTGTACACGGAACATTCTTGCCAAGTAAATGTTGCCAAATATTCTCCCAGCGGTTTTTATATCGCTTCCGGCGGTGAGTACCAACGATTTTCGATCTGGCTGATGGGTTACGCCGAATTTTGTAGACCAGTCCGGCAAAGTCCGAATTTGGGATACCGTCAACAAGGAACACATTCTTAAAAATGAATTCCACCCGTTCGGCGGGCCCATTAAAGATATCGCCTGGTCCCCCGATAACCAACGTATGGTCGTTGTCGGGGAGGGCCGAGAGAGATTCGGTCATGTTTTCATGTCCGAAACTGGCACTTCGGTAGGAGAAATTTCGGGTCAGTCGAAGCTCATCAATTCTTGCGATTTTAGACCAGCCAGACCATTTAGGATCATTACCGGGTCAGAAGATAACACCACTGCAGTTTTCGAAGGACCTCCCTTTAAATTTAAGATGACTAAACAGGTTAGTCACCTTGAGCTTATAACAAAAGGAGACTCGACCATCTTCTGCAAGTCTTTGCAAATGCACTTAAAGGTTCTAGAAATATTTAAGATTCTAGACTTTGACAATGTATCTTTAGATGGTGGAATGTTAGGGTGGTCCTCACTTTTGGCAGGTAATTCAACTGACAAAATGCAAAAGAAGGAATAACCTGTTATGATTAAATGATTCAGTGCAGTATTTATTTTTAATACACTCCTTCCTTTTGTAGGCGGTAGTCAATAAGTATCTACAGCTTTAAAATTAAGTTTGTATCGGAAACTCAAACCTTTTATTTGTAATTAACTAAATTAAAAGTATCATATTTTTATCTTTTTGAAAAAAAAAACATATTCCTTGACATATTAAAAAGTCTCAAGCTTAGACTACTTGCATCCCCTCCACATCCTATTACATGTTCTCGTCGGGCCTCCTTTTATCATTGCAGTCCTATTTTTACTGATTGTATTTTGAAACCCTTTCAAGGATCACAGCAGGTTTGTACAGGCGGTCCGTTACTCTCCTAAAGGAGACTTGTTCGCGACCGCCGGTTTCGACGGTAAAGTGTTCCTGTACGATGGTACCACCTCTGAGTTGGTCGGCGAGGTGGGTAGCCCCGCACATTCGGGTGGGGTTTACGGGGTAGCCTGGAGTCCTGACGGCAAACAGCTGCTTACCACCAGCGGCGACAAGACTGCCAAGCTGTGGGACGTTTTTAGCAGGGACCTCGTCACTGAATTCAAGCTCGGCAACGCTATCGAAGACCAACAGGTATCGCACTCGGTTACAACCGTTTGTCCGTCTTCCCGTACGCGCATTCGGATCATATATTTTGATCGATTGAACAGAACCTCAGCAACAATATAGCTTCGATTGGTACCGTTTCCTTCTAGCACTATTGCTCAAAATCTCCTGTTTTCGTTTTTTTTTCTCCAGCATAATGTTCTCTTAGAATTTCTTCTCGGTGCCTATTGAGAAAGATGTGCCAACAAAGGATGTTCATTGTCATCATCATCGCCAAGGTTGCTGATTTTTATTAATTGTTTTCAGCTACCGAGTAGAAAGCTCTGTAATGTCAATGACTCACTGGTTAGTCAAGTCAAGATCCGGAACCATGTTTTATTCTACTCGTATTAGCGGACCTGTCATTATTACTAGAGCTTCTTTATATTTGGGGCATAGATGAACAAATTCCTTTGTTTTTGTTCCATCTGGATTCTTTTTTCATACATTTGTTGATGATCGTTTTGGCTAGCAATCGGTTTAAAAGTTCAGGACTATTTTGTCTCCCATGCATCAATGCTGTGTTGTTTGTTATACCAAGCATGAAGGCGTCCATCTGTTTAGGTTTCTTGTCTGTGGCAAGGCGAGCACATTTTGTCGGTGTCCCTGAGCGGATTCATTAACTACTTGGACGTGAACAACCCAGAAAAACCCCTGCGGGTCGTGAAAGGTCACACCAAACCGATAACGGTGCTGACATTGTCAGAGGATCGTTCTTCGATATTTACCGGTTCCCATGACGGCATCGTCACCAAATGGAACACCGCGACGGGCGAGAACGAGAAAATCGACGGGGCCGGTCACGGGAACCAAATCAACGGCATGCGCGCACACAACGGCACCCTCTACACGTGCGGTATCGACGACAGTTTGAAACAAATCGACATCGAGGGTATCGTATTTTTTTTTTCTTCGGAGCAGGCGGGTAGGATATAACGCGCGCGATACAGGTAACGCGTACAGGGCGGCGGATTTGAAGCTCGGCTCGCAGCCCAAGGGCATGGATATACTGAGGGAACAGGGCGTGATCGTCGTCGGTAGCATCAACGAAATCACCGTCGCCAAGGACAATAGGAAATTAAGTGCGCTCAAGGTCGGCTACGAACCGAGCAGCGTCAGCTGTTCGCCTCGAGGTCACGTCGCGGTGGGCGGTACCGTCGACAATAAGGCGAGGCCATCTTTTTTTATGAATTCTCTCCAATGGTTGTTTTAATATGTTTTTCTACCTTTAGGTCCATATCTACGAATTGGACGGCGATAACCTCAAACTGGTCCAGGAATTGGACCATTTGGGTCCCGTCACGGACGTCGCTTATTCCCCGGACGACAAATACCTGGTGGCCTGCGACGCCAACCGGAAAGTCGTCTTGTACGCCACCGAAGATTACAAGGTGAGTGTTTTCGCGCCGCCGTCCTCGCTTGTATCGTTAAAGTGTGTCGATTTCTCATGCGTCGCCCCCGGCATTCTCGGGATCAGTCTGTAAGTAAAAAGGAAGCGTTCCCTGTTGTGCAATTTACACCCGACGTTGCGGGCCACGTTGGATAGGAGCGCATGCGATTTTCTCATTAATCTTTTATGCTCTCGGTCCGTAAATGCGCAATAGTTCAAATGAGTGAATAAGTGAGGTGTAAGCGACAGTTTCTTACCAAGTGTTTTCAACAGTAATCAATGCCGCTGCATCCGCATAGCAGACAATACCTTTTTTCGGTAAAATAGAAAATGTTCCATTCATATATAATGTAAACAAAATTGGCCCCAGAACCGTGCCCTGCGACACACCATGCCCTACCTGAAGAGAGCAGCTTAATGTATCACTTAGTGTAACATTTTGCGCTCCATCTTGTAGGTATGATTTAATCAGTTTTTTTACTAGCTCTCTAATACTTAAATCTTCAAGTCTTTACATCAAGATGTAGTGCGATACAGGTCTCAAATGCCTTGGAGAAATCAAGAAAAATAGTAATACACTTTTTTGTCATTAAAAGATCGGACGGACTATGTCGCCTTGATGAACGCATCTCCCGTGTTGAATAAGGAATTTTTTTCTAAAAATTGTTTTAATCTAATTTCAATACGCTTTTCAGGGACGTTAGCTACATTATGTAGTGCAATTTTGATGTAATTCGACATCTAGTCTCTCGAACCTGATTTATATAGAGGGATAATAACAACGGATTCCTTAAAAATGCCGAAAAATGGAGAATACCAGATTAACCAAATATAACAGCTGCGTAGTATAGTAATACTTAATTTCCATTAGTCTGGTACACTCTTCGTATCCAATATGTTTTGCAATTCGACCGTCGGATGGTGAAGACTTTTTATGTTTAATTTGCTAGTCTCTTCTTGTTCTTCCTCGTCAATAGATGCCCATTTATCTGCTACTATTTCATTTATTATTGGCCAGTGTCCTCCCTTTAGGCATTTTCCGGACTTTATGTTGTGTCCATCACCTTGGCGAACTGCTTCCAGTATTCTCTCCTCAAGGTCCTTTTATCTTGGAGTTGATATGGCTTCTTGTATTTTTTGTATTGTATGTTCTACATTTTTCATACGGTAGGCCTCTGACTTTGTTATTCCATAGCTTTGATATTTTTGTTTGCATTTAGGTTGATTTCTTGACTTAATGTGTTCTCCGAGAATACTTATATAATAACCAAATCTACAAAAATCGCACGCGGCCTTATTCAACGTAACCACAGAATAATAACTTGACCACTTTGCCAGCTCGCGAACAACAAGGAGTGGGGGTTCCATAACGCGCGGGTGAATACGGTCGCGTGGTCGCCCGATTCAAAGCTTGTGGCGAGCGGTAGCCTCGACACTAGCATCATCGTGTGGTTCGTTGACAAACCGGACAAGCACATCATAATAAAGAGTGAGTGATGGTCGGACGTCCCTAGTAGATCAAATGGACCGTGCGTTGTGTTTCAGATGCGCATGCGCAAAGCCAAGTCACGAGGCTCGCGTGGGTGGACGAAAAGACGGTGGTGTCTGTTGGCCAAGACGGCAACACGAAGCTGTGGACGATTACCCCGTTTTAAGTTGGGCGGGGCGTGGAGGGGAGCGTCCAGGGTTTTTGATTATTTGGTCCTATTTCGTTTGCCTTTTTCGCATTTAACCGAACTCTTTTTACACTTTGTTATTTCCGATAGGTTCTTATTTATTTATTTGCGCATTATATTTATATACGATTATTTTTTTGCTCATGGTGTGACGGTTTTCGGAGTTTTTTTTTTTCGGCTTCGTGGGTTATATATTTATCTGTACAGCGAATTTTCATTATAAGATCTATAACAATTTTGCGACGGTTGGCTAATCGAGTGGTTCTATTAGGAATGTTGTATATTTTAAGACTTAGGTAAGAAACTAATGTGCATAACAAAGTATTAATTTCTTAATTAAAAAAAAAGTATTACACATTGTTTTGTTTTACTCATGGCAAGCTAGCTAGCTAGCAATTTTTTTTACCACAGGAAAACAAAACCGCGTTTGACGAGCGAAGTATCGTAAAAGTCACAGGTGACATCATAATCTCGTTTTTAAGCAAAGTTTTGGCACAAAGTTGGCACGCCCGTTGGTGACATTCGCATTGTTCATTGTTTCAATGACACTTCAATGAGAAGTTATATTCCTGGAGAAACCCATAGTACCATAATTTCCATCCAGCATGACTCCATTCACGAGAAGCACCATAACCTAACTTGCGCCACAATGTAAGCTGTACAAACGTGAAAGCTACTACCGGCCCTGTATATCGTGTCGATATTTTTACGAAAAGAAAAATGTAACGTCCTACTAGCATATCACAATTTTATAACGAAAAAAAAAAGGTACGTCAGTGACACGTTCACCTTTAATCTAAATTTGGCCATGTGGTCGGACGGCGCGTTACGAAACGTCCTGGCACCTGTTTGTTTCTCCAGGAAGCCCGCCTATTAATAGAAACTGGCTGGACAAATATCTGGGAACGTGTCGGCCCAGTACGCCAGTTTTTCCCTAATCATGCACACTGACCACCTGAGTCACGTAATGACTGAGCAGCATTTCGTGCTAAAGTGGCACTACCACGAGACGACGCTCATCCGTAACCTGCCGTACCTTCTTGAAAACGACATCTTGAGCGACGTTACCATTTCGGTGGGCGCGCACAACGTCCGGGCGCACAGGATCATACTAGCAATGTGTAGCGTGTACTTTCTACAGCTGTTTCAGGTCGGTATTCCGATTTTCCAACCAAAACGAGCCCAAACCGCTGCGAAATTGTCTTCTAAAAATAGCCGATCGCTTTTTCTGGTATACGGTATTTTTAGAAGTTCGGCTATTTTGAGTGCGGACGCCTATTACAATGAAATTGGCCGCGAATGTAACCGTAACCTCACTTTTACTGAATGCCATTCGTCATCTAATCGCCCAAGTAATTTCCCAAAAAATTTAAGGTGGCCAACATACGCCCCTATAACCTATCTGATTTACATGGCAATACAAGTAATCGGGAACATGGTTTTTCTTTGGGTACTTTCAGTAGTAGTCGTCTATAAAATTTAACATTTCTTCAATAAACGCTTTGAAAAATTATGCATCCAATTGAATTTGTTCTGTTTGTTCTTATTAATATTGCGCAGAAACTTGCAAAATTCACTTTAATAAACAGTGAGCAACCCATAGATAATAGAACTTTGGTTCTTTAAAGAAAGCTACCGAAATGATATTATAGCCTTCTTATTGCGTGAAATTTTATTTCGCAATTGACAATTCCGCTTAGTTTCCGATAAGAAAAATCCAAATTATCCAATTCAATTTTAATCTGAAGTTTATCTCTTAATCTACTTTATTATTGTTCATAATACCTAAAAATAATATTGTAACGTACTTATGTACGTTTACAAAGTTAAAGATGCATATTAATCATATAGCTTACACTTACACAAAAATGTTTAAGAAATGCCCCAAATGGCTTAACTGGTGCTAGCCGTCCTCTTAGGAGTACATTCTCCGTTCCAGTCACGCCCTTTGTGCCTTGGCCAGCAATGTTTGTTAATTTTTACTTCTATTTTTGAAATTTTCATTAGGACCTTAGAAATACGCAACACCCCGTAATCGTGCTACACAACGTTGGTATAGATGACGTCAAAGCGATGCTCGCGTTCATGTACAAGGGTCAGTGTGTGGTATCGAAGGAGCAACTGCCGAATTTGCTGTCCGTTGCCAAACTGCTGAAAATTCAGGGGCTTTGCGATATGAAGGTAGGTCCTAACTCGCTATGGTTACGCCTTTAAAATTTTTGATTATAGTTTGATGCATAAACTTAGAAGCACATTGCTTCAGGTACCCGAGAGGGAAGAGCCCGTCCCCGCCGCGGACACCACGGAAACGTTCCAACTCCCGAATTTTGAAAAAGCACCAGACGCGAGTGACAATTACAATTCTACCAGTATTAACGTCAAAAGGCAAAGCGGTGACGCAGGCAGCAACGTAGCGATCAATTTATCGAGCGACAGCAAATCGGTGCGAAGCTCCACGCCCCCTACCTGGGAAAAACCATTACGAGGTAACCATCAGCAATTTCTATCTACTTTTACAAATACAATTTCGAAATCGTGATCTCGTCAACATGTAGTGATGCGCTCTATGGTTGGCCGCATAACTCTGGCAATCATGCTCAATTTTATAAAAGAAGAAGTTTACGATATAACGTCTAACCTCACTTTGAAAAAATTAAAAATAATTTACTTTTTATTTCTATTAATATATAACGCTGCGAAATTTTCATAGATCTCTTCACTCTCGAAAATGGAGAATCGCTATCATGTTTTCGGTTTAAGAAGAAGTTAATCTCATTTTTCTTTATCACACAATATCGTGGTTAACTTATACAGCATCCTTTCGGAGTATTACTCAGAAAAATCCAAAAAAAACCGGAGTTAATTATTTGACTCTATTTCGTTGTTGCCAAGTTTTACTCTCTCTCTCCCTCTCTCTCTCTCTCTCTCTCTCTCTCTCTCTCTCTCTCTGTCTCTCTCCCATGTACGTATTTTTGAATAATGGTATAAATACGTATATTCTCCACAACAACAGAATATATAATATAGAAAAGCCAACAGTAACGTTGGACCAAGGTTTTATATTTGACACCTGCTGAAATAACCTCTACATTGCGCACAGCACCAATTAAATTACAAAAGACACAGAACGAACAACAGATCACAGATTATATGAAGCATTTGACGCATGCCTAGATCAACACTTTTGTGAGAGGAAATACAGGACATGTCAGATGACGTAATCAGTTTTTGTCTGTTGCAGTAACGCCGGAAAACGCGAGCCCATGCTCACCGGAGGGCGACTGCCCGTATCCGAGTTTGCGCAAAGCGCATTCGAGGGAAACATCAGAGACGTGCAAGTGCTTCCTGTGCGGTAAATACCTGAGTAACCAGTACAACTTGCGGGTGCACATGGAAACGCACGAGGAGGCCTACCACGCGTGCCAGTCCTGCCCTCATGTGTCTCGTAGCCGAGACGCATTACGGAAGCATGTGTCGTATCGACATCCCGAAGAATACGTCACGAGGAAACGAAGAAAGACGGACAATTCCTAGACGCGACCACGCGAACACTAGTCCAATATTCAAAACGGAAGGATTCCAGTTGAATCCCACCTCGTGTCGTGTAATAATTTAAATCCGAGTCTCGAGAGTTTTTTTTTTGTACTGCCGTATGGAAAAAAATGTTACCGTTCGATTAAAGAGATTATTTTAATTGACGCAATTTTTGTTTACTCCGAATGCGAAAAGAACACCGCAAATAAATGTCTTTTGGCAATTACAGACGGCGGGGGACAGGCAAGGACCCCACCATATAGAGTCTATGCAGAACGATAAAGGAATTTTTGAAGCAAAATCTGAAAACATGCGCATGAGCGAGATCTAAAGTCTCGTTTTTAATCAACGACCCCCGTATAATTGCAAACAACCGACATGGCCGCTGACAGATCGTCAATAAGTTTCGATGTAGCTTTTTTACGGCAGTATTTTTTCGAAATATGTACGGATCCTATTAAATCTTCAGACAAAAATGAGTGGTGTGGACAGCGTTGTTGAAAAAATATTGTAATTTCATGAAGGAGCAAACTATTGAAAGTATACAAGTTCTGAGTGGAAGTGCTATTACACCACCTTGTATATAAGGTAACACTTACCCGTGTATAGGCACATTCTTTTATTTACAGTTTTGACTACAAAAACAAGTTTTCCAGTGTAAGCAGATATTCAGCAAAAATTAAAAAAAAACAATCGCACAGATTGCTAGTATTCTGTGACATTACCGACAACTCGGCTCGGCGTTGCCAATATTATCCGTATTTCAGAAACTGATATTGTATTTTTACACATAAATCAATTTAAAAAAAAAGGACAATAATACGTTTCAATTAGTGGAAAGTGACGCGTGCGTGAAAGATGATTCTCGACTGTACGAAAATGTTTATCATCAACGTTTATCTGAGCAGGCCTGCTATATTATCCAATAGCTAAATGTTGGTCACCCTTTCCAAAATCTCCTTATCTGTTGATGAAAGAACAAAAATTGGTTATATAGAAAATAGCCTCCTTGATGGAGTCAAATCCACTTTGTAATTGCGTCATAATTGTCTTCCAGTTTGTCGCAATTTTTATGGAATATTTTAACGGATTTTTCTGCGTGAAACACCAAAATAAGATCAATAACTAATGCTACACGTTTTTATTAGAAAAAAAAAACTAACATCCACAGACATCATAAATGCGTTATTTAACCTCACAAATTTTTGAAAAAAAAAAAAAGTTAAATGGGATAAATCTAAAACTAACCAATTTTTATTTAACGACATAAAGTTGCGTCGATTTGGGATAAAGAAGGGGCAATCATTTTTAACTTTCGCCTGTACATCGGGTCCTCGGCAACTGGGTTGCGTTCCAAGTAAACGGTCGCCAAATTTTTATGATTCGCCAGATTATTGATGGAATTCCAATCGTTTACCTTATTGTCATTCATCTGAAAGGGTAAAAAGTGAATTTCACTTTGGCGTACTTGGTTAAAGTCGCGTGTTTACCCAAAATTCCGCTAAATTTTCCAACGCTTCGATGTTCTCAATCACGCTTATCTGATTTTGACCCAAATCTAAGGTTTCAAGCTTTTTGTTGGAGTCGAGATTCTCCAGTTTCGTGATGCCATTTTCCGAGAGATAAAGCTCAGTCAGTTCAGTTAATTTGTCCAAATTTTCAATTTTGGTCAGCCTGTTACTCTGCAAGCTGAGGCAGGTTAAGTTCACCAAGGAGTCGAGGTGTTCAATTTTGGTTATCTTGTTCTTTCCCAGGTACAAGTAGTTGAGAGACGTCAAACCATCAATGTTTTCAATTTCCTGATACAAATATTGATATTTTAGGAGAAAAACTATTGATTATTTTATTTTACATTTTAGAAAAAAAAACAAAAATGCAAAAGTTGTAGCATTAAGATATAATATTACATATTTACTTATATACAAGTTGGGTCAAAAAAGCATGGTATACCCAAGTTTTTTAAATATTCCAAGTTCCAATTAAAAAAACATATATACATACATTGATATACTTTTTTTGTCACACCTTGTATATAAATAAGCATATAATATTAAATCTACACAATACAGCCTGCAACTTTTGTATTAAACTGTTTTGCCTAAAATTTAAAATAAAAAAGTTAGGAGGGAGTAACATTTATAATGGATCACCCGTTACCCTTATTTTGTTGTCTCCTAGCTCTAACAGTGTCAAGTTCTTTAATTCATTCAAGTTTTGGATTTTGCTGATTTTATTGGAGGACAGATATAATTTCTTCAGGTTAACAAGATCGTCCAAACCTTCTATCTCCCGTATTCGGTTGAATGACATGTCAAGTATTCTAAAAATGTCCGTGTAAATCTCTCACTACAGTGTCCAAACTCAAACTCACTCCAAATTTACCAAAGCACTAAGGTTTTCAAGTTTAGTTATTTGGTTATCGTAAAGCTCAAGCTCTTTCAGGGTGGTCAGCGTGTTCAAATTTTCAATCTTTGTGATCAAATTCCATCTAAGATAGAGCCTTTCAATTTGGGTGAGAGGTTCCAGGTTTTGAATTTTACCAATTCTGCCATGATTTAAGTCTAACTCTAATGTTTCCGGATCGACGACAATTATATCGTTAACGGTAAGGTCGTGACCGTGACCGTGCCTCGAATCACCAGATTCCGATGGAATGGACTCTTCCGGTTGAACCTCATCCACAGCATCCTCTACTGTAAACAAACATAGCTACCAGTTGTCGTCACCGCAAAGAATAATAAACCAACCTTGGCTTTCTTTATTGGGCACCGGCATTTCGCAGGTAAAGCGTTTTCTTATAGTTTATCGTCGTTTATTGTAGTTACAATTAAATAACTGGCGATATTCTGTGAAAACTTGACACTCCGAATGCTTGAGAATGTGTATGTTCATCCGAACTACTGTCGTAGATTGTTTCGGGAAATCCGCGAATTCTATTTATTTACTTATATATTACCTAATAACGTCACGTTATTTAAATATAATATAGGCATACGAAACTATTATTTTCGCCGAAAATTCGGAGACAATAATTTATAGTTGTAGTTCATTTGGACTACCAAGAAAATGACCTAAAATATTTTACTTGAAATATAAATTTTATTAGCGGATTGGCAATTGCAGCATAAAAAAAATTAGCGAAAATTATGATATTCCTAGGTATCGACGGCAACTGCAATAGAATTAGGGTTGAATAAGGGATCGATAATTTTGAATATGGCGGTTTTCCTAGTGTTGTGTGTCACTGACACAGAACTGTCCAACTGTCCCGCGCACGCCCAGATTGCCTCTTTCGGAACAGTTTCCATCTTGATCACATGTGAGTATTAGTTTTTTATTTAATAATCGGAAAAGTGATCAATAAAGGTGATTATTGCGCACATTCAGCGGAATAGCGGGCGAATTTTCTTCTAAATTCGAGGTGTTACCGGCGTTGCAGGAATCGAGTGTTATTTTCGGCGTTTTTTTTTAGGTTGTTTGACAGGGTATGATTTGGCCGTATTCGCGCCATGTTGCTTGGAATATCGCGGCGGTTTTCGAATAAATTCGCGGTAATTCCGCTCGAATTTCGCGTGTCGGCGAATTCTGGACCTCGATAAACGCGGCGCGTCCTATTTAATCGAAACTATAGTCTCGAAACGTTAGTTTTTCACGTCCGGCGAGCGCGGGTATCGGTGCCGCGTGTACAGATTTATCTCGCAGCTTTTTAGCCGCCCCAAGTGGCTAAGGACGTTTGATTTTTGTGTTCGCAGATTATCAGATACAGTCTGCCGGCAGCAAACCGCCCGTATCACGATGGCCGATATCGATGACACCCACTTCGAGACCGGAGACTCCGGCGCCTCGGCCACCTACCCCATGCAATGTTCCGCTCTGCGCAAGAACGGGTTCGTTATGTTAAAAGGCAGACCGTGTAAAATTGTTGAAATGTCCACTTCAAAGACCGGCAAACACGGACACGCCAAAGTTCACTTGGTCGGTATCGATATATTCTCAGGTGAGATTTTTAGAGATCCGTCGTTGATTGACCTCTTCCGATAACGCCGGTCGTCTCTTGGATGCGTTCTTGTCATATTTCTCAGGTTTTCGCATTGTAAGAATATTGACGATTATGTGTTGGAAAATTATTGTTTTATATATTGATTGGTTTTCTGATCTCTGACAAAAACGCATCCGAAATAGGACCGGCCTTGGTGGCCTTTGACTAAAGAATAAACGTGGTACAGAAGCGCCAAAAGAAATTTTTGGGTTTGGAAACTCAAAAAGCTCGAAAATTTTCATTCAATCGCATTCAAAAAAGTATGAAAGGTAGAATTATTTTAGTTGTATTTTGCATTGTATTTTTATTTTTTTACCTTCATCGATTTTCATAATTTGATTTTAGCCTACCATATACCTGGTAGGTTATGGTTTATATAGTTTGTCAACATATTTTGTCTTTGTCCGACAACAAAGCTTAATAATAATAATTGTGTTATGTTTTGACATGCAAAATTCAAATTTGATATCCTTTTATGAGGAGCCTTGGCTGTAAGGGAGAAAACGAAGATTGTGTTATTCTGTGAAAGGTGCCGCATAACCCGGGAAAAATCTTGTATCTAGGTAAAAAATATGAAGATATTTGTCCTTCTACGCACAACATGGACGTGCCCCATGTTAAACGCGAAGACTACCAATTGACCGACATCTCCGACGACGGCTATCTCTCCCTCATGTCAGACAACGGCGATCTGCGCGAGGACCTCAAAGTGCCGGAAGGCGAGGTCGGTGCGCAGCTGCGTACGGAATACGACGCCGGCAAAGACATACTCTGTACCGTATTGAAGTCTTGCGGCGAAGAGGTGAGAGGAAATCTGCCTTATATGCAACGTTCGTTTAATCAATTCCGCGTTTGTGTCGTTTTTCAGGTAGTGATCGCGGTGAAAACAAATACCGCGCTGGATAAATAATGTCATGGAACCCTGGCGGGGGCCCCGTAAATCGAGTACATGAGCGCGGTACCACTACCAAGTCCGTAGGTCCCCGCCGTTAAACCTAAGCTACACTTATATTTGTATTGGACCAGTTGTGTAAAACAAAACAGCTTACCTAAAACAAACAAAAAAATAAATAAATAAAACTAAATAAAAAACGTTGGAGTGCCGCCGCCGCCCCGGTTCGCCCGACCCGGCCTGACGGGGAGTAAGAGGGGGGGGGGGGGGGGGCGGTGGATGTGGTGTTTTAAAAAATAATAAAAAAAAATATCCTTGCGTCTCTGTATACTTTTTCGTTGGCCAACCAAAATAAATAAATAAATAAACAAAAATGCAATGCAACCGCAAAAAAAACAGCTGTACCAGTTCAATAAACTTTGTTTAATTTTAAAAAACGTTTATTGTAAATTTTTTAAGTCACTTTTTTTACCGTCTCGTATTTTAGAAACACCTTTTTCTGCGTGCGTTTTTTTCCTCTTGCGGGACAATCGTTTTTTGATACTTTTTACGTTTTGGATATTTTCCGGCTCAGTTCCAGACAGAATTAGGTGATTCTAGACGTTCTTGTTGACATAATTTAAATGAATAATAAAGTATAGCATTTTTTAAAAGACTTGTTTTTGATATATTGTTTTCGAGTAGGTTGGATTTTTTTTAGGGCCTTTTCGACCGCAGGGTCGGTTTGCGCAATAATTTTTAACGGAAATTGGATGAAAATATAAAAATGACATTCGATCCAGGGTTTTCATTTATCTCTCATGTGGAACATCTACCGACCGTCATTGGACGAACAAGGTACGCAAACATCTAAGTCAACTAAATATTCTTAATTTGCACCTAAATTTTTGCGCTAGAGTCTTCTTAAAATAGTAATTGTTACGCGACATATTATCGAGTATTATGATAAAACCGTCGCAAAAGGAAAATGATAACATTGATAATAATAAACTTTCCATTGGACAGTGCAATGTCCTTCCAGTTCTTCTTTAAATTAAATATTTCACACTAAACAAAGAATGTCAGCACTTAAAACCATTCTTACTGAATATATGACATCAAGGGCTTATTAAATACGATGGATAAAAAAAATTCACCACATGGAATGTTAATTACCTAGATGGTATACTCTTACGTCACGCATATGACGTAACAGCTTACATGGGCAAACCGTAGTTTCCGCATGTCGCAGATAATAGGCCCAGAATAATTTGTACGTTTTTAGAGTTTGATTTTTTCTTTGCGTGCATTTTCTTAAATTTAATAACTCTGTGTAATTGTGTAACTTAAGTAATTAATTTTTATAAAAGCGTAGAACCTTTTTCTGTAGCGATGGTTTTTGAACTAAACACAGAATCTGAAAATAGTTTGGTCTGTGAACTAAATGCGACCGCCCAATGAGCAAAGATTACATTTATTGGAATTTTAGAGGGGCGTAAAAACTTTTCTTATCATTAGAACTGTATTAAACGTGAAACGGATAGCGCAAAATAATAGGCAATATATGACGATCTTATCTAACATACTTGAGTTAGCCACTTAAATAAGTTATGTCTGACGACAGTTTGTAGTACAACAAATAAACGTCGGAAATTGACAAGATCCAGTAAGGATAAGACAGAAGCCGCAAAACGGTTTGTTGATGAAAACTTAGGATACGATCACATATAAATGAAAATTAAACCTTAAATTTTAAAATGTAAATGTTTATCTTACCGTTATTTTCCGATCTTTTGCTTTCTTCGTTCTTTGTAAAATGTAATTAACAGCTCACTGAACTAACTAACCAACACAAATCTAGGCTATCCTATCACAGCATGTAGCTTGAATTCCGTAACATTTTTGTGCATGGTTACTCCGATAGAAACTGCGAATGGGCTTGGTTAAACATACCGCAAAACATCGCATAATAACTCTTGTCAGCCCTCCTGCTATTTAGTTATGGTCGACCATAATAAAAGACTAGGAACGGTCATTTGAAACTAATTCCTAAGTCCCAATCAAATCGAAAATTCAAAAAAATCGGATTTACTATTATCTACTTACCAGTTTTTGCTTTTTTGCCTTTATATCATCAGAGGGACGTCGCAGCAAACAACAAGAGTACAAAACAACACTATTTCACTGTTATTTTAAATCCGATAGTTTCTAAATTACGAAGATGCGGATGCGTTAAAAGACGCGCGTCTGCATAACACGATGCCCATTGCAGACATCTACGTAATAGACTGTCGCTGTTTTGACTCATCGTGCATGGCCCGCTCGAAATAAGGTTTATTCGTAACTTGAATAGAATTTGGATGGTGTTGTTTTGACTCTTAATGCGATAAAACTCCGACCAATTTTCATAATAACGCGACTTTGCTATATGAATTTTGGAGAATAAGAAATGGTCAGCCTACTTGTGGGTCCTCCGGGTAATAATAAAATTCAACACATCTCTATTAAATACTTAATTATGGTTGAACTAGTCATATAATTGAAATAAAATTAGATACACATTTATCACACACACCTTTGTATGATTCGTACTCCCAGCGGTAAAAAACTTACGTATGTTTTTAAAATCGCAACATTAGGGGCATTTTGTCGTCTTATTACCCTTCTTCTGTTTAAACTAATTCCCGTACAGCTGCCTTTGAAAATAAAAAAAAATATTTTCACTCCTAATAATACAAGGATCCTTGTAATAACAATTTTTACATATTACTTGCGTCCTATTCGCACACACAAGTAAGGTTACATATATATATATATATATATATATATATATATATATATATATATATATATATATATATAATTTATTATTTATTTATTTTTATTATTTTTATTATCAACGCTTTGGTGATACATTTTCACTGATGACCTATGAACCTCACAAAAGATATTCGTACGAGGTTAACGCCAAAATTTCCCGGCCTGACATATATGCAGCTCCAGTATCACGATAAAACTTTGTCTTCTTTTGAATATATATCTTAATAGGCTGCGAAAAAAAAAATTGAAGTCTTGCGTCAAATAGTTTTTTATTGACAGCATTTTAAACAAGACGTGTCCGAAAAAATGTCGCAAGTAACGCAAATTGAGTATGGAGCAGCAATAAAGTTTTTGACAAAAAGGGTTAGCACCTAAAATTATTAGAGAAAGGCTGGATGGTGTGTACGGCCAAAGTTCTTCTTCTTATTCTGTAGTGAAAGAATGGGCAAAACGTTTTCGAATGGGGCAGGAGTCCTTTGAAGATGATTCAAGAACTGGTCGACCAGTGGAGGTCATAACGGAAGATATTGTTGCGATTGTGGAAGAGGTGGTATTGAGTGATAGACGTTTAAAGGTCAAGGAAATCTCAGAAATTATTAAGCTTTCTCGCAATTCCACAATGACGTTCCAGAACAGTACTTCGGTACTTCGTGCATACAAATGCTGAAAGCTGACGGATTTGTGTAGAGTTTCATCGGTTATTATTAGTCCATGCAGTGAAAAATCCATTCTTATTTTTAAATGCAACTCTTAAAATACAACAGTCCGCACGGCACAGCTCTTGTGGGCTAACAACTTAAATACGGCACTGGCTTGTGGTACACGTGCCGAAAAGAATGGTCCCTTTCGCTTTACCACGGGCGGGGCTTAAACACATTCTGAAGTCAAAACCATAAAAGGTTGTAAAAATGGTATTTCGTTTGGAGAACTCTAACTATTTTATTATATCTACTATATACAGGTACACACAGGCGCATATCCTCTTTTCGCTCTCTCTATCAACTGACAGTTCTAGGCCGGTAATGTTAGGGACCAGAATACGTCTATTTTGAAGTCGACTATTCAACGTAGCACATATCCTCGAATTGGGGCTCGCGCGCAAAAACAAAAACCAACGCGTTAGAAACTGTTTATTCAATGACTGACGCCCACCAAAATAAAAGACACTTTTTTTTGCGAAACAATTTGTAGGTACGTAAAACATGGCCGACAACAAAATCGGTGGCGTCGCAACCCCGGCCCGGTCGAATTGGCCAGGACGGGGGGGCCGCTCGATACATAAAAATATCGTAAAAAGGCGCCCTACAACTGCAAGAGGTAAAAAAAATCTCCACGGGGGAAAAAATCGTTTTTTTAGTATGACAATAAACACTGAGTATAAGTCTAGACATGCAAACATTACATCTATGTTTTTTTACTTATATTTCTGTATAAGTCCTCCTCACTGGCGCGCGCTATGCCCCCTCCGTGCCGCGCATCGCTTAATACTTCCATAACGGACGAGAAAACGAAAATGCGGTAAGGTTTGGAACCTCCTAAAATTACGTCAACCATCCCCGCCCCGTTCACGCGGTTAAAACCCCGGTCGGCGGGCGGGGGGGGCCTTTTCCATCGTAATAATATATATATTATTCAATGCGGGTCGCACTCTATCAGTTTTTTTAACTCCTTTTTATCATTAACAAATACGATAATATAATCTAAGCAAATTTTTATGATATTGCGATTGACAAATATGTAAAAATTACAAGAAGTAGTCGGGCGTTCGACGAGTGACGTGGGGCTCCCCGCGTCTGGGTGCAGGGTCAAATTGCAAGCTGGGGAAAAATAAATTGGCTGTGAGAAAAGAGCTCTCGGTCAAACTGAATGATTTATGATTAATTGAAAATGTTTAAACGCTAGAATCTCGAGCACGAAATTTTAATCCTAACCTCTTTGTTAAGTTACAGGGTGTTTTATTTATTATCTGAATAGAAAATTTATTAATTTTTTATTACTACCGATTAAAGTAATTTTCAATAGGTTTGAAAATGTCAGACTGGTAGCTTTCAAAAAATCAAAATTGTTTTTTTCCACATATCTCTCTATCCCGCCTGCAGGCAATTCTATTTTGAAACGATTTTTGCTTGCAATTTTTGTACTTAATCCTTCTCGTGCCTAAATTAACCTATGAAAATTTTTCTTGGTACACTTTTTCTAAAAAAAATTCGTGTACTGGAAAAATTTTTCGTAATTAATTTGACGATAAAGGGTAAGTGGAAAGGTGCGAGAACTCAAAATTCTTAACGATATATATTTTTTTAATTTAAAATTGTTGCCAATTCCGTCAGTGGAGTAAAATTTGAAAATTGTCAACTAAGTTGAGATATATAGTCGCCACATTTCTACATTATGTAAAATGTCTTATGGGCTAAATGCAAATAAAAACATATTTAATTTAAAAGTACGAAAAAAAAATACTCTCGGAGGCATGCATCCTTTCCAAAGTTGAGAAGGTTGAATATTTGCGTTAAAATGGCTCAAAACTAAATACTGGTTACAATTTTTACTCGCAATTGTTGTATTTAAGGTTATAAAATATTTTTTAGCAACGTACCTGAAAGATCGTTTCAGTATGAAATTCACAATGCTCCTCTAAAGACGAAATACATACTGGGCATGCCCCAGCATGATTCTTGTAGATTTGAACGCTGCTTTAGCTATAATGCCATTATGCTTTATAATAATTATAATATCTATTTTGAATCCAGCTCAGTTCTAGTACTTCGGAAAAAAAAGTATCTGTCCTAATCAAATTAATATTTTACCAATAATTAATTTTTAGACTCTTATTGTTATTATAGGTTATCGTTCCACTATTATTGTAATATTCGGTTAATGTTGAGTAGCTGAGACTAAGATCTTAAGGTAGACTTTTGAGATGTATAACTAAATAATTTAAATATCTCAATAAAGGCTACTATTATAACTAAAAAAAAAATAAAACAAAAATTAGAATTAATTTAAAAGGAAATTTTAGATCACACCAATAAAATTAGGAATTTCGTTCATATGGGACGATGTAGAAGTCATTTATTTTTTAATGTGCCACCCTCAAACTTTAATGATAAAATCAATCAAATAAGGATTTTGCAATTTGATTTTTTTTTAAATATTTGCTTGCTTAATAATGGTGCAACAAACATGAAATTGGTCATTGCCCATTAAAGATCTATAGTTAATTTTTCCAATAAGTTTGAATTTGAACAAATTATTTAAAAATGCAAATTACTTATTAATTAAAAAAAAAAATCTTCACGCTTTGGTACTGTGACCACCTTTAAATCTAAACAACTTTTCGTAATAGCAATTTGGGGAATTTTATGAACTATCCTGTATACCGTTGTAAGTGCAACAACTACCATCAATAATTTTAGTACACCTATTAATATACCAGTGTGGCACCCTTAAGTGACCGCACTGTCTATCAGCAGCATTCCAGCAATTTTTAAGCAAAACACCCTGCATCCAAAAGGTTCGATGAAAAATCTTGATATTTCGAGATCCCAATTCCAGAGTTTAAATTATTTTGCACTTACAATGAATACTTCAAAGCGTCGTCTAGTTCCATGATGGCCGCCTGGTTGCCGCAGCGGTAGCAATAGTTAGGGGCGCTGAATATGGTGACGACATTACGGTCGTGGCACCAGTTGTAACCCTCCATGACGAGCTGATGGGCGCGAGAGACGAGCGTCAGCCCGTTCGAGTGGTTAAACGACTCGGAAATGTCCTGGCCGAAGGTGTATCCTGCACCGCGGGGGCTTATGCCCCATCCGCCGCGATCGTCTGGGTCGGACCACAACAGGTCACACATGGGGCCCTCATGTGGTACCTACGGTTAACCGTAACAAAAAAATTGAAGCGTTATGGAGAAATATACGAAACAATAAACCAAAGAGAGGGAAAAATATGAAAAAACGAAAAGAAAAAAGAAAAATAAATTTTTGTACATATCCTAATATTTGCCTTTGATTCAACTGACGAACGAAAATGAAAAATATAGAAAAAGGTAGACAAGGGTAGAGAAATAAATCTAGCAAACGGAAAGGCAATAGTAAAACAAACACATCCTTTGGTCTTAAATTTTGCATATTGCATCGAAATATAAAGATAAATATGAAATGCATCGAAAAAAAAACAGACAAGAGTAAAAAAAGGAAAAATATTAAATAACGACAAAGAAAAAGTTATAAAAGCGTCCACAACTGCCAGCAATTATTGAAATAGCTTTAATATTACCTACAAAAAATAAATTTTTGTTTTTCTAAAAAAAAAGGTAATAATAGCTGATAGGACAACTGGACACATTCATTTCATTTTAGGCTGCGAAGTATGCGGTGTGACAATGATAAATTAAATTCCAACAATGTAAAAAAAAAGCAAATGATTTTCATAAAAAACTTATTTATATACCCACACAATTTAAAACTCTACTGTAACTGCTCCCAATCTATTAAGCTTTTAATATTGATATGGAAGTAATTGTTATTAAGATTTATGGACTCTAAAAAAACCAATTTAGGTAAAAAATATAAAATCAATATACAATATACTTGTTTAAAGATCCTCAATTATATGCAAATTTATTTATTTCTTAAAGCAATAAAAAAATTATATATTTTTAATTGGATAAAAACTCTGCCTAATCTTCAAAGATTTTTTCACAATAGATACGTAAGCCAGTGCTTAATTAGACATATATAAAATAATCCCCCTAAACAAACTTGGTGTTCATTTCTGTATTAATTTTTATATTTTCACCAAGTAATAATAATCAGCAAAAGTCCCTATAAACCGCACACAAAGAAATGATTTTTCTATTAAAAAACACTGATGAACAATTCCAACGATATGATGCAAAGTACCGCGAAATATTGAAATAATGATAAGTGCATCACCACTATCTGACCTTGAAACTGACTCATTATTCACCTGCCCCAATCTAATTTTAAAATTTAAATTGGATAGTAGCTGACTAATTACTCTTATCAGTTTAAGAAAAAACGGAAACTAACCTATATGGACAAAATAATCCTATTCGAACAGGGTCACTAATTACTATTAATTGGTCACTTACCTCTTGTAAACGATCTAAAGCGCGAATGTGATCCAAAGTGTCAATACTGGGACTCAAACCTCCGTGCAAACAAAATATTTGGCCGTCAACGAGGGCGGTCAAGGGCAAATAATCAAACAAATCTGTGAAATACTTCCACACATTGGCGTTGCCGTATTTCCGCAAGCACTCATCATAGAAACCATACACTTGTGTAATTTGCCTAGATTCGTGGTTACCCCTGAGAATTGTAATCCTTTCCCTATATCGAACCTTAAGGGCGACCAACAGGGTGACCGTTTCTACTGAGTAATAACCACGGTCAACATAATCACCCATGAAAAGATAATTGGTGTCGGGGCTGCGGCCCCCTATCCTGAACAGTTCCATCAGGTCGTGAAACTGACCGTGTACGTCTCCGCACACAGTCACCGGACATTTTACCTCTTGTACGTTTGATTCTTTTGATAATATTTCTTTCGCCTGAAATGAAAAACAACACGCAATGACCAAGCTGGTTGATTACGAAAAAACCGCGGGGACAAACGTAAATTACACCGCACCGTAGATTACCTTATCGCATAGCGTTTTAACTTGATTTTCAGTCAACTGCTTGCAATCATTTAGCTGTTCAATCCACTGGTCTAGTTCCTTACACGAAACTTTATCGTCCATTTCGGATATTTTCTTGATAAATATGAAAACGAAAACACTTTAACGTCTATCCTAATACGCCAAATAACGATATATTACTAACGAACTAAACGATTAATTTTGGTATGTACTTTTAACTATGATCACAACAGAAAAACGGGGAAAATGGCGTTGGTTCATGGATTTTGACTAACTTGATAAGACATCGCGCAGACGCGAGACCTCCCCAGGGCAGCGGGAAATACAAATCGTGACCGAAATTAGGAAATTATTGCGATCGATTAACGTTTCTAACGAAGCCTTTGTAAATTGTTTTACCTCATCGGTTTTGCCCTCGACATCTACATGTTCTTTTCTCGATTCAGCTAAGGGAATTACTTTGAACGGTGTCGAATGTTCGATCTTTTTCATTTCGGAGATTCCGTTTTAGAATAATTTTGACATAACATGAGATCTTGTCAAGGTCGTTTGGTTTTGAACAGGTTTCGCTTTGGGACGACTTAATAATTATCAGGCAATTTTTATCTACGAGATTAATATGCAGAAAAAGGCGCGAGTAAAAGTATGTTTTCATTTTTCTGTACTACCATTTTTATTATATTATTATTATATATTATATATTAAACAATTATAAAGAAAAAAAACCGAAGACAATAACTTACGAAATCGAAAGGAATACATTTTCAATGTTGATCTTTGATACGTATAAAGAAAATATGTGCATGGCTATTACACATAAGTACGTCACGAATTGTTCAAAGGCGACGAGCAATCTTTGTCAATCGATATTTAGGCTATCCGTGTGAATTTCGTAGTCTATGGAATTTAAGGTTCTAAACTTTTAAGTCAGTACAAATATTCTAAAATTATTGAATTGAGACTTTAATTACATTTATTAAGAAAAAAATTCGACAATGCCAACGGAAAAATCTGACGTCAAACAAATGGTTTTGGCGAAGGCGGTGTATGATTTTATCCAATATCCGAAAGAGTTTAAAAGTCAGTCTGCCAGAAACTGTGCCGCATCCCAATTAGGTGGAATTGATTGTGGGGGACGAAAACGTAATTATGTACCGTTGAAATTTGCGAACTAATAGCAATGAGCAATTGATGCCAGAAACAACAACAACAAATGTAAGACTTACATATTGAATATAGGATCAATGAATGTCGACAGCCCCAGCACATTAAAACCAAAACACGAATTTTACGCTCACAAACGCTAGGCATTGAAATGCAAATATTAGCCAGACTCAAGGTTTTCGATTAGCAGTTGTGCAGAAGTGCATGAATATGGGGTCCTGGGTTTTGACCTGAGCCAAGAAATAACACGAGACAAGTAAAGATAGGACTAGGGGTATGAGGATGAGAAACTGGGACTGTTGAGAATTAATATGCAGGTCACCTGAAAAGCATTATGACTTTTATTTATTTTTCCAATTTCGTTCATTATCCTTTTGACGTTTCTCAAAAAGTGTTCAAAACCTGCGCTTACTTCTTTTGTTTTGTTGGGTTCTCGCAGGCGTTTTAAAATGAAACTTCAAACTTACTAAACGCCATGTATAATATATGTATATCCTCTGAATCTTTGTTCTTTACAATTTTGTTTTTTGGCGTAATAAAGGAATGCGCACAATAATTGTTTATATAATTACTCAAATTATTAAAAAAAATAAATTGGAAAATTTTCGAAGAGTTGAATGTGTGGTTTTATTGGGAAATCCAAATTTGTTCATGTAGAGTAATGCTGTTCGACGCATTCACCAATTGAAAATGGGTTCTTCTTCTTTACTTTTATTGGCCAAGATTGCTAGGATGAGTAGGCCAGTTTACACTAATTTCACCATTGACACAGGTAAGGTTAAAAATTTCAGTCAGCCACATATACTCTGACTTCAAGTTCAAGTATGCGTTTCAAAAAAATGTTGGGCTCGACTGCTAGGATCATTCGCCCATTGCCGACTTCCGTCGAGGATCTTCGCTTTTGGTCATTGACCAACACGTACAAAGAAGACATATAACCAATATTTGCTCAACTAGCAAAAAAAACAAATTTGACCGATACCAAAAAAAACCGACACCCCCCGCTTCCGCCCCGGACCATCCGGGCCCATCCGGCCTTCATACCGGCGTGAACGGGAAAAAACGAAGGGATCGGCGACGATTATCACTTTACAACGTTCACAAAACACTGACAACACTAAATCCACTCAGTGGAGACCGATTTCAAAATTTTTGGACGATTACAAAGGATTCTGTAGGGAACGAACGGAGGTTAAACCGCCGCGTGCAATGTTCCACCACAGAATATACTCTGACTTAATAACACAAACAAGTACTCTGTTCCAACTTGGACTTTGGCCTCAGGTCTCCAACCGGTGTGAATAGAGAAAAATGAAGAACCGTATGACAGGAAAACACTAAAACAAGCACTAGGCTCATAACTAACTTTCATCACTTGACTTGAACCGATAGATAAAATTTTGATTTGATCACAACGGATTCTGCGGAGAGTGAATGGAGGTTAAGTCGCCACATGCAATAGTTAGGACAGAAATATTTTTTAGATTATGATGATCGTAGCACTTTATTTCTTAAATTACACTTAAAACCATACATAAACCAGAAAATGCGACATCAAAATTTGAAAAAATCCAATATATTTTGATCTGAGGTGTCAATCCTTACCACGAATTTTAAAAGAGAACACCTCAGACCACAAAAATTTCAAACATACCATCGTGAATCGTATAAAAAAAATCCTTGAACGTTTCTTTATCTAAGAAACTATTCAGAAATTCAAAATTTACGGAGAAATGGGTAAAGTTATCCAGTAAGCAAATGCCGAAAAACTTCCTCTTGAGACCGGTTAGCAGTATATACGGCGTACATAATGTAAACGGGAGAATTAATATGGCAGATTAACATTCAAAGTTATACAAACAAAGATAGACACCTAGCCGCCCCTCGGGCTTAAATATGTTTACAATTTTTAAAAAGTTATTGAAAACACGAATTAATTTATTACGTTTTAAAAACAAATAACTTGTTTTGCAATTTGCATAGGCGACAAGTAGTTCTCAAGTATAAAACGCAAAGATTTTTTAGTCGTAAACAAGCGTTCGATAATGAAAACATGAGCGAACTAAAGGTAAGTTATCTGCAACGCCTTTATTGTCTAGTTAAGTACTACTTTGATAGTTAAGCTTTAGTGGGTTCGTTCGCTTTGTTCATATTTTGAAAACTTGTTTGCAAAGCCTCTATTTTAAAAACCTCCTAACAAAGATTCTGAAAATGTCGCTATGCTCTTCCAGGATCATAATTATGTTTACGTTAAAAAATGTTGAATTGCTTCATTTTGTAACAAAAAATATATGACTAACACATGCGTTTTAAAATTTTTTAAAAACTAATAAGGTATAAATATATATAATAGCAATTTTCCATAGTTTTTAATCACACTATCCATATTTGGATTATTGGCTTTGAAACTATTTTTTTTGTTTACCCTTTTCTAATTTTCACTATGACCTATCATAACGAATGATGATCACATAGTGCGATGATAATTTAAAGTTGGCAACTTCAAATTCCCAAGAAAACTTTAATGAAACGCTATATAAACATGGTTGCGAATATTAATGGAAAAAAAATCCGTTTTCATTTTACCTACGTGAAGTAACGTTTAGTCGTCTAATCGTTAACGTTCGATTTCAAGTATCTTAGCGGTTTCGGCTCCGAATTCTCATCAGAGGACCCGAGGTGTCCTAACTCGCTGCCCGTGGGCCAAAATAGCCCCCAAAAATGCCCGTACGGACTCTACGCGGAGCAACTGTCCGGTAGCGCATTCACAGCTCCTCGAAACGACAACAAACGTACCTGGTTCTACAGAATTAGGCCGTCGGTGGGTCACGAGCCGTTTTGTAAATTTCCGGCAGGGAATATAACGCACGATTGGTCCGAGGAGGAGCCCGACCCGAATCAGATGCGATGGAATCCCTTCGATTTGCCCGATCGTTCGATCGACTTTGTTGAAGGGCTTAACACCATTTGCGGGGCGGGCGATCCAAAGACGAAACTTGGACTGGCCGTTCACGTGTACGCCTGCAACGTCCCGATGAAGAATCGGGCTTTTTACAACGCGGACGGGGATTTTTTAATAGGTAGAGTACCTTATATGACGGTGAAAAATTATTTGATTTAATTACGATTTTGCGCGCGACAATTGTCAAAAATCAAACTATTCTGCCATGGACTGAAGAAGAATAACTCTGTGATTAATGCGACGTTGTCGAACTTGTCGAAAATTCGGACGCATGTTTCGACGAAAACACTTAAAATAAAAAACTATTCTAAAGACTAGTTAAATTAAACGTGAAACGAATAGCATAATATTATTAATACTCCTTCATGTTCTGAACAACAATCTTACTACGATGAGCAAAAGAAGTTAGTTAAATTACCGATTTATTTAATAATGTCATTAGCACAAGTTGATGCAGTGACGTCACTTGGCCCATTCGAAACAAGTTTCGGGCGTTATTTGTGCAATAGGTTATCACAACGTGATGGCATCAGCTCGTCATCTGGGAAATTTCTGTTTTCAGTACCCCAAGCTGGCATCCTTGTTGTAACTACCGAGTTCGGTAAGATTAAGGTGGCCCCGAACGAAATATGCGTCGTCCAACAAGGAATGAGGTTTTCCGTGGATGTCGAGCGACCATCCAGAGGTTACGTCCTGGAAGTGTTCGGCCGACATTTTACCCTACCCGATTTGGGCCCCATCGGTGCTAACGGGTTGGCTAACCCGCGGGATTTTTTGACGCCCGTCGCGTGTTACGAAGTGAAGAACGTTCGCTACGAAATTATCGGCAAATATCACGGTAAATTGTTCTCCTGCGTACAAGATCACAGCCCTTTCGACGTCGTCGCGTGGCATGGGAACTACGTGCCGTTCAAGTACGATTTGAGCAAGTTCATGGTCATAAATTCGGTTTCGTTTGATCATTGCGTAAGTAAACATCTCTTTCACGGTTAAAACTTCTCCCAGCCCGATCTACGAACGCAACTATTACTTCCCTTTAAAGCACAGCCCATCAAACAATCAGCTATGCAATTCTACGGTGTTTGCTGCGTTGCCAAATTTCGCCACTGTTAATTTTATTTAATTTTTAAAAAAACCATGGTAATAGTTGTGAGAGGGAGCCACTTAACGAAGCTTATTTTATGACCGCTAGATGCCCCGATTTTTCAGGATCCCTCCATATTCACTGTATTAACCTGTCAGTCGGAGAAAATCGGTACGGCTGTGGCCGATTTCGTCATATTTCCACCTAGGTGGTCTGTGCAAGAGCACACCTTCAGACCTCCCTATTACCACCGCAACTGCATGTCGGAATTCATGGGCCTCATATGCGGAGAATACGAGGCGAAAAAAGGGGCATTTCTACCGGGCGGAGCAACTTTACACAGCATCATGACGCCCCACGGGCCAGACTTTAATTGTTTCGAGAGCGCCGCGACAGAGGCGCTGAAGCCCTGCAGGGTAGCTGATGGCACCCAAGTATTTTTTTTATAGTTTTAATCGTAGACGGCTACCTTCTTATTGACTTTTTACAGGCTTTTATGTTCGAGAGTTGCCTGGGTCTGGCAGTTACGAAATGGGGAGCGAAGACCTGCGAAAAATTGGATCCGGATTACTACAAGTGCTGGCGGGGCCTTAAAAGTAACTTCACGGGACCGCACTAGAAGTGCCACTCAGGATCGCAGTACGAACCCAGATTTAGGCGTACGCAAACTGTCGAAGAAACAACAAATTTCATTAAAGTTCTGCATTTGCATTTGTTTATCATTTCGTTGCTTAATTTGTCTTTGCTATAAAACGAACTTCCCTTAAAAGTTGGTATTACTTTTCGGACCAACTCAGCCCCTCCATTTATCAAACTACTTAGCTAGTAGCTGAGGTACATTAAGTGAAACGCACTAATGAAAATTATTCGATTCCGGTTGCACTATCCAGTATTTACATATGTAAAAATGGCCGCGAACACCGAATGCAGCCTATTGCTTGAGGCCGAATAATCCTGGTAGTTGTGATAATAGAAGTTATAAAGAAGAAGAAGTGTCAAATCGTTCATTTCTCGGGGACCGAATCAATCAGTGACCGATTTCGGAAAGTCCGAATCATTTCAATTGTTCATTTCAATACTTTTTGACGCCAACATAAGCGGTAATAGTCACTGAATCCGAATAGTCCGAACGACCGATTCAGATTCATTTTAATTTGAACTATTGTTGTGTCTATATGTTATGTTCTCTGTTCTAGTTAGTATAATATTTATCATGATTTTATCAAAATAGGTGCTACGTATTGGGTTGTACCAGTCATACATAAATTTGCTTAAATTAGATACCTCTGTGGAAATAGATATTTCATTCAATATTCAATTCGACACATAAGCAAATCTACCAATCGAGGTCGCAACTCAATACTATAGAATAATTATAACATTCCTTTTCCGTGGCCTGTCTCAGTCATGCATTTAAATCTTAAACCATTCAAATGAATCGTATTCCGGCGAATTCGATTTGTTTTGGTACGGTCGGTCGTCCTGTATTGGGTCACTTCAGACCGATCAGGACGGCCGCCAGAGCGAACAAGGTGATCGAATCGTTACGAACAAGCGTGACTCGGTCGTTCGATCCTATGAAGTGATTGAATCAAAGTGACCGAATCAATCGCGATTGACACAACTCTAGCGCAAGGGTAAATAGGGACGACATATGTTAATAATAACTTTTTATTTTTCGATACAACAAAAATATATGGGTGATTATATTAAAACAATTACGTAAATGTAAATGACCCATGAAGTCTGATGCGTCGAAAAAATGTATGTATATTTTTTCTTTTTTCGTGGCATTCGAGAAAATGTTACTGGGGTTAGTTTTATATACAAAAAGGTTCGACCAAATGTTTACTCCAACGAAATTATACAAATACGGGCGCCATTGTTTGGAAATGAAACATAAATAAATGAACGACTTTTACGTGTGAAGTTTTATCCAGTCAATAGACTTTGTAGACCCGTGGGTATAGGCCCCGCCGAAGATAACTCCGATTACTAAGAGACACGCCTATTAAAATGCAATAAAAAAATAGGTACAAAAAATTAAAAAAAAAACAAATTAACAAAAAAATACTGATCAAAGGTGCATATATAGCTCATGAGAACGAAATAAAAATTTTAAAAAGTACCAAACAACGTAACTATAGTGTTTTGTCGCAAGCGGGTTGCCTGCTTTTGCGACAGATCACAGGCCAGGCGACTGCCAAAAGTGTGCCGCGTATGGTGTTTCATAACCTCCAAAACCGCTTGAAAAAACGGACTTTTGAGGTTATGAAACTGCTGAACGCGCTGAACCTTTCCGCACCGCCTTGTTAGGACGACCCGTTCCGATTATCCCTCCTACAATAGAAGCCGAGCTCCTTGCACTTTTCGCACAGATGTTGAGGGTGAACCTTCGACTGGTCCGAAACGTCCAGTCCGTCGGGCTTTTCGAGCGGCCGCTGCGAAATGGTCGAAAACTATTTTTCCTTTCGAAATCTCACTGCGCAGCAAATAACTTACCTGCTTGTGCGGATAGACGTTGATATGACACTTGATGCACTCTTGACCCTTGTTTGACCACGAGTTGCCTGACATCCACTTCCTCTTACATTTGGGACATTTGTACTCGCCGAAACATCTCTTCTTGCCTTGGTACGGGGTCATGCCCTCACCTTTGGGCCGAGCCTGTGTTAAAATTTTCATTTATATATCAAGATCGAGTTAATTATAAACTCAAAAACACTTTTACTTTCAGACCTGGCAAAAACACTTTCTTCCAACGAAAACGAACTTAAATGGCATTTACTGTATAACATTTAATTTGAGTTCCAAAGGTTTTAATTAACATACGCTTGAGATTAAAGTCCACTTTTCACCTCTGATAACGTATTCAGCATCTTCTGTATATAATATAGAATATTATGCAATAAGTTATTTGTTATAACTACCAGATATCCTGACACATGAATTGCTTATTGTTCACGAATTGAACGAAAAAACTTCGAGTTATTAATGTTAATACTGTGGTTATGATTGTACTTATGCAGACTGTCCTTGTTTGTACTTTTTACAAAACTTCTAGATTCCTCCTGCGTAGGTTTTTGCTGAGTTGGCTTCTTCAGAGCATGACTGAAACTGGTTCGCATTTTACTCTGTACCTACTTATATATTGTTTAAGGGGGGCGGAGCTAAATGAGGGGCATAAACACCGTCTCGGATGACTTATTCCTATATAAAAAAGTATAACGTCAAAACCAGATTTACCACTTGTCCAAAAATCTCTCAACATCTTCGGTCCGTCAAAGACAAAATTCCATTTGAGATGCCACCAGGAGTTTACAGTATTCCATGCATATGCGGCAAAGAATACATTAGAGAGACCGGACGAAAAATATAAACTAGAAAGAAACAAAGAACACAAAAGAGCCTTACGTCTAAGACAAATAAACTCATCAGCTGTTGCCGAACAAACTCATGAAATTTTATTCGAAAAAACTAAAATTCTCGCATGTAATCAGTTCTTCTACCAACGGAAAATTCGAGAGTCTATAGAAATCTATAAACAGCCTAACAATCTTAACCGCGACTCGGGTCTCTACCCGTGTTTATGTCCCTCATTTAGCTCCGCCCCCCTCAAAAAATATATAAGTAGGTACAGAGTAAAATGCGAGCCAGTTGCGTCAAGCTCTGAAGAAGTAAACAGCAAAAACCGACGCAGGACGAATCCAGAAGTTTTGTAAAACGTATTACAGTACCCTGTGCAAAGTTTCTTTGAAAAAAAAAGTCCTTGTTTGTGTGTGTGTTTCATTAACCAAGCCCATCAAAAAAATGAATTAAAAACCAAATTATATCTCCGCTCTTTTGGCAATAGACCAGATCGTAATATAAATACACTATTTTCGATATCGAGAGGGATAAAAGTGGTGCCATAGCGGACCATATTAGTGGATACTCTATTTGACATGCAGAGGACTGCGCTTTCAGCCAATAAAAGTTAAACATGACCGCTGACATTTCGTAAAAAAGTGACAATTGACAGACGCATAAAAGTCAAATTTGGCAGGTGTAATATTCAACATTCTTCATACAATGACCTTCAAATTACGATCGAGAAGTTTCGAAACGAAAAATCCCGAACTGAATTGCCAAGATGTGACGTTCCACGATCGCGTTTCATCATAAACTCCTTTAAACGTCAAACCATCAAAAATATTTATGCTTATTTCGTTTCGCGAAAACGGTGACGTGTTATTAATATTGTTTGAGATTTATATATCGGTGAAGGCCTTATCGCCACATACCGTACGAAACGGTTCGGCGGCGATGAGAAAAATGCACAGTCCGCAATTTGTTTATCAACAAACGCCGACAGGCGTCGTCGGACAATAAATTTTCGAAAGATATTCGAGACCCCCCGTTCTTCGAGAAGGTAAACAAACCAAAAGCGAATTATGTCTCTTCTGACGGTAAAGTCTGTTCATAGATATAAGAAAGTGACTAACTGATACGAATTAAGAAAAGACCCGGGTCCGTACTTTGCTTAGAATTTATTTCTTGGGGGTTTTGTTAGGAAAGATACCAAACAATATTTATTTGTTTCGGTATGTATTTATGTTTAAATCTAAAGTACTTAAATTACTTAAAATTATTCACATAATATATCAGTATCACTATCGCTATCATCGCCTGTTCTAATTATTGTTCTAAATTATTTGCAATATGGATATACGATTGTTTTGTTTTTTCTACATGTTTAACAGAATTTGCCCAACTTTGTGGAGGAATGTTAAAAACTTCGGTTTCTATAAGTTTGAGGACATCGGAGTTAACACAGGGAAAAACATTGTTAGGACGAATGGCAGATTTCATTTGGTGCCAAACATGTTCAATTTGATTAAATATACAGTGGTAAGGTGGAAGCCTTAAAACTGTATGCCCTAGATTTTTGCATAATTATCACAGACATATTACTTATGCAGATTTAAGCTTTGTAGAACCTCAATTAATTGCTTTTTGGTATCAACTTTCAAATAAATCAGCGGTGGTATCTTCATGGGAATGCAGAGAAGAATCTTTAATATTTTTCGCAGACAGAGAAAGTCCATTTGGAATCCAACCATCTCTAGAGCCAGCATGCAAAATATTTATTCTTTTACCTCTTTTTGATGGCGCGTTTGTTTTACACTTATCAGTTGAGCCAACCCAACCCTTTTCCGGGGTATCGTAAGTGTAAGTTGGACTTTGTTGTTCTCTGTAAATCCTATTTTTTTCTAGATATTCTAGTAGCCATTTCCGAATTCTAAAAGATTCCATTTTGTCAATTTTTTTAAATCTAAAACCCATGTGTTGAATACACTTCCATAAGGTAGTTCTGCCACATTTAACACCGGTTTCATCTTTTTCAAGCTTTCTAATTAAGATATCTAATGTAGGCACGCTTTGTCCCTCGTATAACTGGTAAATTTTACTTTCATCTACACTCGAGAAAATGTGAGCATCGCTTCTTTTTTTCCTCGCTGAGATGTGATTATTCACAATTTTCCATACAGTTGATGTTGGAATTTTGGTCAATGTGGCCGTGTCTTCTACAGATGCTTGTTTGCTGGCACCGCGTTCAATGAGAGTCAAATAAATATTGTTTCTAACTTCCTTAGTCTCAATAGAATAGTGTTTTCTACATTTGGACGGGAGCATCTCCTGAGATACACTAGACTCGCACATATTTTGCATAATTCGCACACGATTCGACACACGCTGTATTACACACGAAATAAAAATTATTACCAATAAACTTAAACTAAATAGTATACCAAACCAAAGAATATTAACCACAGGTAGGTATAAAATTATTTTCTATTACGGACCACAATTTTACCTGAATTTAAATTCCGAAACTTTAGGTAATAATCTTGTTGCATTGTATGTTAATCACCACCCTTGTATAATCCCATTCAAAAGCAATTGGTCACTTTCTTATATCTATGAACAGACCATACCGAGCTTTACGTCAGCCGGCCCCCCATTTTTAGTTTTTAATATTTTTCTTGTTGTAATAAATTGTGCTCGATTAGTGGTTAATTGTGTCAATTTATTTGATTTAAATAACCTAAAAAATTTGAATGATACTGGAGAGACCGTATTGACTAATGGCAATAGAAAATTTAGGATATTTACTTTTTTTGCATCTTGATTTGATGTGTGTTGAATTGTGCCATTAACTTAAAAAAAAAATGTGGCGGATATTAGATATAGGTAGCTCAAAAAGAATTTTATTATTTTTTTTTTATTTATTACGATTTTATAAAGTGTCTTGCCATGTTGTTTTAGATAAAGGTAAACTAAATTGTTTTTTTGATAACTATAAAAATACAATTGCAAATCAAGAAACGCATACATTTACTACACATATTAGTTAATAGAGGACGCGGTTTCTATAAGTGTCAAAAATTGGATTTTCGTTTCTTTCTTTTTGAGTTCATAGCCAACTACGCGACGCATACGATTGATTATTGGCAATTGTACAATTTTATTAATTGTCGTGCAAAAGCATTATTAACAACCTAAACAAGGGTATCTTGTTTCCAATTTTGCTGGAGTTTATGGATGTTCAGTTCATCATAATTGGATGCAGGAGGTTGGTGTGGACAATGGAGGTTTCATTATGGACACATTTTGTTTTTGATGTTTTATTGAATTCCGCTTGGACTGAGGAGTAAGTATAAGCAATACATTTTGTTCTCGCCTACCTACTTCATCTTTTTTCATAAAACAAAAAAATCTTAGAATTGTGGCATATTCTTGACCGCTTTTATTTTAAAAACTAAAAAAAGTATTTCAGCAATTTTGCAATATGAATTTTATCACTCAGCACAACATACATCAAATACTACTACTGGTAGTTTTTTTAAGAACTTATAATACTATAAATTCTATTTCTTTCTGCTATTTATATAAATGAGCAAGAGAAAGACAACAATCCCCATAACTCTATTGTGATCGATAACCTCGAGTACCAAAATGTCTTCTTCTTATTTTTTTATCTCGAGTGACCAAAATTTCTGTCTCTTGTGAAGTATTAGGCTGGACTTTGCAACAAGGCAATTTTCCACCAGGTGTCCCTATTTTTGCAGGTCTCGTTTTCGATGTATGTGAGACGTCCATAATAAACACCCCCACTGCTTTAACACTTTTAAGAAGTTATTATTAATGTAACTCAAACGTTCTACCATATTGGAATCGTGTCATGTATGGCCTGTAAGCACAATCGCACTCGAGGAACTTCACAGACACTACAGATATTTTGCGGATTGACCAGTCAGGTTTTTGAAAATAATTTTTGAACCCCAGCAAAGAACATTTCATTCCGGGCAGATTTTTAGCATAGTATCAGAGTTAAAAACATACCTGAGGGCAATCTTTGATGTAGTGCTTGAATCCGAAACACAGGTGGCACATGTACGTTGGTGGAGGTTGTTTAGTCGGTCTCCTCTCTATGGCAAGATCTCCCAGTTGATCGGCGAGTTCGTTAACCGCAACGGAAGTCGACGGTACCTCCTGGTACCCTCCGTTGTAGATGTTGAGGGCGGTTTGGGGCGGCGACATGGGGGCGTTCCACGTCGTCGGACAAATCTGGTGCGGCGGGAACAAGGATTTTGAAAAAATATAACAAAAAAAACGACGTCTCGCTTACCTGGTACTGCTCGGGGCTGTGGTGGTACTGCATGTAGTTGGGTGAAGGGTACGGCGGGGTGAAAAGCGAGCCTGAAGACCCGGAACTGCCGAAATCGTGGCCCCTGTACCGCCCGTGGGACGTCGACTTTGTCAGGGACGGTTGCGAGAAAATGGTGGCCGACGGGGACATGAAGGCGTGGTCGTCGTCGAACGTTACGTCGAAAAAGTCGCGGATCAAGCTGTCGTTTCGTTTTGGTTTTTTTTTATTTTAAATAATAACTTAATGAGCGAATGAAGTGGATGCCATGCACAATAGGCACAAAAAGGACAACCGACGGCCCAGAAGCCTCTGGAGGTTTTTTCTTTAATTTGTCTTCTTTAAATTACTGCTGAACAACACCGTAAATGTATCCTAAGAGATTTGTTTACTAGAACGTGACGTCATTCTCGACTGGACTGGTTTTTCTGTGACGTCACGTGACGTAACTTTTGCGCAGTTTGTGCGGATTGTTTTCAAACCACATATTTGCGAAGAAGGATATTGGGTTTTTCAGAAGTTTTTCAAATTGGGGAGAGCCTAGGATGGAATAAATTTCAAAAAAAAAATACAAAAGTTTTAAAATTTAAAATTATTTTAAATTATACACGGTGACTCAATATTTAAAAAAAAATACTATTTTTTACACTTGCAAAAAAATTACGATAGCGCCGTTATTTCTGAAGATTACTCATATTTGATATTAGCGTTATTTGTAATATACCATTTTTAATATTTTGCGATTTATGTTCTTTGAATGCAATAACCTATTTTTTAATTTTATTTAGAATTGGTTTGGGAATTCTTCAACTTATTAATAATAAATAAATAGTATTTTTTGTAGGAAAATTAAAATATTAGAAAAACTATTAGGTTTAGGAATGTTTTATTATTACTAAAAAAGTTGAAGAATTCCAAAACGAATTCAAAATAAAATTTAAAAATGGGGTATTGCATTTAAAGAAATGTATTCGTCACGCTTTTTTGAGCCACATTTTAAAACAATTTTAGAGTGTGCATCCTGACAATCTTTACAACTTTTGTATTTATCATTTTCTAATAACTTTTGAAGCCAAAGAGTGAACTTTACTCTATTCTTGACTCACCCTGTACAATTCGGTGAACATTTTTAAACTTTTATCCGGATGACGTTTCATTTTTCTCTTATTGTATCTTCACTGCTATAGTTTTTGTATTAAAAGACGACAACCACAAAACATTTTTTCCTAAAAATGCAAAATGGATTCCTATATCTTATAAGTGCCCCTATAATATAAAATATTATGACGTAGAGACTCAAAAAAAGTTAAAGTTAAAGTTAAAGTTAAATTAAAAAAAATCTTAATAATCTACTACAATGAAAATTAAATAATCTAAATACTGGTTCAAACAATATTTTTTAGTTTTGTTGTCAAACTAACCTGAGGGGTAATTTACGAGTCTATGGAAAAAAATTACTTAAGAAAAATAAAATATGGAAAATTCAATTTAAAGGCAAATTTGATCTAATTATTTGAAAACTCAAATTTTTTGAATTTCGGAAAATTTTAGTGGGAGTTTTTGCCCACCTCCCCCTGAAAAAAAATTAATTAATTATTTTTTTTTTTGGAAAAAAGAGGGTTGATTGTATAGTTTTCAAAGGGGGCAATTGTAAATTTAAAGCAAAAAATCCGGAGTTTCTATATATAACCCCCTCAGTTTACTTATTTCGAGTGTCCAGTTTAGTTGCCTGTAGTCCTTAGAAGGCAACTTGAGACTGCGTCACTAAAATCCCCCCGCTCTCCCAAAGTTAATTTGCTTATTCTATTTTTAAAGCTTTAGATTTTAACGTTTAAATTACCAATTTGAGATACAAACGTTTCGTAGCAAGCGCTAGAATCGTTACTAAACAGAGTTAGTAAAGGCACGGTGTTGCCGAAAAAGCTGTCATATAGCATTAAAAACTGTGAAAATCTGAACATTTTTGTTCTAATTTAATTTGTGTTAAATGGATCAAGTAAAAGCCACCTCAGTCCCATTTTTACTAAACAGAGTGTTTATATTTTAGAAGTAAAGGGTTTTTCGATTGGGACGGGTCGAAGTAGGAGTATCCACAAAAAGTACATGAACACTTTGTGGTTCCAGCATGATGGCGTCACCTGTCATACGGCGGACGCCACGATGGAGCTTCTTCGTGAAAATTTTGAGGGTACGATTATCTCGTACGTAAATTGGCCACCCACATTGTGCGATTTGACTCCGCTAGACCTTTTCTTGTGGGGTTTTCTAAAGTCACTGATAAGCCCTTAAAGTCAAAACAATCCAAGCAATCGCTCAGATTCAGATGGAACTATGAGCAAGAGCAAATAATGGCATTCATAGACCTATCAAATAAAATAAAAATTTAGTTAATATCTCACACACGGCTTGTTTTATTCTATTTCGACACACCCTTATTGAAAAGCCCTTTAGTATAGCGACTTCGAACTTGATCGGGATGGTCCTTCGAGCCGGATTTTTTTTTTGCTCGCGCTCATAGGCCGTCGATTACGATAATGTGCATGCGTGACGGGGCATTTTCCTCGTTCCACCTGTCCCTTTAGCGGAACGGAAAATCCGCCGGGAAGGGGTGCGGAAAACATTATTAATAAGGAAAATCACCTCTTGAGGAATTCGACTGTTAGGGGAGGAATCTCGATCGTGAGCTCGTCCATGGTTAGTAACGGGTTATGAGCAGGCTGAAACTAAAACAGGTTGCAACATATACAGGGTGTCCCGTCGGAGAAATATACCACAATCTATTATGGGAAAACTAGGAAAAGTTTGTGTTATAAGATGTGGTTCATAATTATCGGAAAATGGATATTGAGATGTACATGGTAGAAGTCGTTCTACTCCATTATTTTTCATTGCAAATTATGAAAAAATGGCAATTTTTAAATTAAGAAGATATACTTCGATTAAAGAGATCGTTTTCGATATACTTCGGTATTTTTTCAATATTTAGTACCGTGTTAACATTTGAAATTTTGCAGTTTCCCACATTAGACCGAGATATTTTCCTTTCGACGTTTTTCACATAATCTGACGCCACACCTGCAGGGTTAATATTTAAAAAAATGAGAAAACACGAAATTACTTGTATAACAATAATAATAATGATAATAATAAATTGCTTGTTACCCATAATATAAACCTTTGGGATAAACAAGATTTCGTAATAATAATTAAGCTTAAGTTAGGGTACTTGTTTGCTACAAATCGACCAATCAACTGATCAAAAGGAGGGAACAGGAACTAACCAATTTAATTTGCAAATTTCTTTTAGCTAGCTGTGAACAATTTTCCACTAGTCAATCACATGACTTTTGTCCAATACACAGTATATCCAAGATAAGGATGGATGGGGATATTGGAAACTATGAGATATGAAGATGGTTAAATTAGAAAAAAGTTGCAAAATTTCAAGAAAAGTAAAGAGTTCCCATCACTTCCGATGATATGTTAAAAAAACCTAATTTTGCCGATTTGGTATTATTTTTTCTGGCGTTATTGTGAGATATAAAAAAATAAATGTCTCTTTCTGAGCTCCACAAGATAGTGTTCAGAGATTTAAAAAAAATACACCATGTATTAAATAGCATATTTTTATTACGAATACAAAATGATGATACATTGTTTTAATCACAATAAAGTATAGAAAGAAGACAACGGAGTATAAACATTTTTGAAAAATTCACTACGAATCTTAAGCAGTATGGTGCACGTATAAACCAGTTTAATCCAGGAATAATATCAACAATGAAAAAAAAAGCAAATAATGTAATGTTCGCCGTAACTGAAAATCCGGCAACATCTGTTAGAAAAACAGAACGTACAATTAATGACGAAATCTACTGCTCATTTTATTATGAGAAAAAAAAATCATCCTTTCAAATTTAGAATTACTTAAGCCCTCAGACCAGGTGATACTAGACATGATGGAACTTTCCCTGTAAGTAAGAGATAATGCTCGAGTACACCGAATATCGGTGGACCGAGATTTTTCGAACAGATTCATTAGACCCTTTTATTATAATGGTTTTCTTAACTCTGAGCGTTACCACCACAACCTAGAAGAAGCTTCGGATAGATTTTTTTAAATAGGGTTATTGCAAAAATTGTGTTTACCAGTGAGTTTTTGAGACTGAAGGTCAACTAAGAATAATTATTAAAGGCTTTCAAAACATTAGAACTGATATGTTAAGAAATGTTTTAAATTCGACATTTACAATTTTCAATCTGCGTTTGAAAATTAATGGTCACTTGTTTATAATTTCTTTTTGTAGTAAGTTCATTTTAAGTAATTTATTAATGAATTAATATGTGACATGATCTATCATTTTATGTCATTGAATTTAATAAAAACCCTTTTTGCGATTTAACCAATGTGGAATCGTATTATGTCGTACATCGTTGCGGCCGTTATAAAAAAATCTCTCAACATGTGGTAACGATAAAGTAACTTTTACTTTTTTATATCCCATTAAATAGCACAAGAAAAAATAAAAACGATATCGTCCAGTTTCGGTTTGTTTGGTTAATCTTCGGCGGTGATTGGAATTTTTTAGTTTTCTCAACAGCACGTTCTTAACCTTTAAATATTTAAATCTCTTATCAATCTCCCTTTGATGGACCTCCTCATCTCGAACACACTGTCTAATAATGTTTTTTTTGCAAATGGTTGTATTAAGTTTTTTATAATTTTTGCTCTAGTAAATTGATCATCATATTATCTGCTTGTTAAATATTGAGTTGTTACCCCTATGAATAGGGTTAGTATCTTTGCAATTTACATCATTGTTATTATTATTACTATTATTGGATATACCATTTGGTAAACCCTTTTCGGTATGGGTCGTTAAATTAGCAGACACCTTGTAAATACATAATCCGATACAAGCAACAGGCGATCCTTTGAGTCGAAATACTTCAAATCAATGTTGTTAACAATTCAACACTAATATAGTGCCATAGTTTTCAATTAATTAATTTAATTTAATTGGATTTTTTTATTATTGTCGGGTTTTATAAAAAGACCCCGACACCCCAAAAACCAGAATACGAATTTAAAGAAAAAACAAGAGGGCAAGAATTATACAAAGTAAGGCGAAACGAAATAAGTTTTAGGACCATAGGTGTGCGCGGAGAAAATTTGCATAGGTAATAAAATACAACACACCTGCGTGTTCTGCTAGCTAAGCGCAAGCAACAAAATGTGTGCAATTTAGAAATCTGGCTCGAAAATGACAAATATCTTGATAAAAGCCACTCAAAAACCCGCACCATAAGGGAATGCCCATCTTTTCGATCAACAGAGAGAAATTATTTTATTTTTTTTTCGAGCAAAGCATAGTTTCAATTAAATTTTTAATCCTACGACACTGGAGCCGGTAGAAAGATAAAACTTTGGATTTTGGTTAAGAAGGTAAGTTTTTTTATCGAATGCTCCAAAACATCTTCAAATATTAAATGATTTTCTCGAGTAACTTCGGACCTCTTGGTATGATCTATTCATAGATATAAGAAAGTGACCAATTGCTTTTGAATTGAATACCTGTTTCATATTCTTTGGTTTGGTATAATACTTAATTTAAGTTTATTAGTAATCATTCTTATTTCGTGTATAATACAGCGTGTGTTGAATCGTGTGCGAATTATGCAAAATATGTGCGAGTCTAGTGTATCTCAGGAGATGCTCCCGCCCAAATGTAGAAAACACTATTCCATTGACACTAAGGAAGTTATAAACAATGTTTATTTGACTTTCATTGAACGTGGTGCCAGCAAGCAAGCATCTTTAGAAGAAACGGCCACATTGACGAAAATTCCAACATCAACTGTATGGAAAATTGTGAATAATCCCATTTCAGCGAGGAAAAAGAGGAGCGATGCTGACATTTTCTCGAGTGTAGATGAAAGTGATCAAGATATAATACGGCGTAAAATTTACCAGTTATACGAGGAACAAAGCGTGCCTACCTTAGATATCTTCATTAGGAGTCAACTAACTCAACAACTAACTTATATATATGAACAGACTAGAAGGGGCACCCGGTTAACTATACTGACGAGGTGTCACAGAATTATACGAATTATTTAATGACCATTGGTTTCGACGTTTTGGGAAGTGGGATTGACCAGCAGGATCGCCCGATCTTACGGTATTAGATTTTTGCCTACGGGGTGGGTTAAAGTCACCCGTCTATTTGACATCGGTGCGGATGACATCATTTAATCTGATTTACGGTACGACCTGTTGCCCCGT